ATAAATAAATAAATACCACCCCCCCCTTCTTAGTAGTGAGTCAATTAGGGATGTAAGAATATCACCCTTACGCAACGCAGCGGGTTGAGTATAGTGCTGCGAAGCTGTCCACAGCCTCTGCAGCAGGTTCGATTCCCAGCCGGCAAGGGAAATTCCCACATGGCGGGGCAGACCTCTCTTGTCTCACCCGCTGCTCCCCTCAGCAGTGCTTTCGGTCTGCCTGTTCTGCATCCCACTCTGTCTCTGGTGAATCCTCTCACCCTCCCGTGCCTCTGGCCTGTACCCCAGCTATTGCATAAATAAGAAATAAATCTTAAAAAAAGAAAAAAAATCCTTGAGTTTTACAAAATAATAAAGAACCCAATAAATCCGAATGGCTGATCTCCAAGTAAATATACTTCATAACCAAAATAGGCTTGAATAAATTGAAATAACTAACCCAATACAAAGAGACATATGTAATTACGATTAATATGTAACTAGACCGACATGTCTCTAATGCTCAAAATCATTATTTTTATAACTTTCAAAACAATGAAGTTAGAGCACCAAGTATTTCCAATAAATGTAGAAGAGAAACTATAGTTCATTTTAGATTTGTGAACTCATTTAACTGACTTAACCAATATTTTTATCTTAAATTACGTAAAAATAATTTCATCAACTGTCAAAGGTTAGAGACTCAAGACTATAAAGCCTTAAAACAATACAAAGCATCTTCTAAAATATTGTGAAATAAATTAACTTACCTGAGAACCCAATCTTAATTTCACTAACCCTCTTAACCCTTGGCACAATGGTGCTGCAAAATATGATCTGCCTCTCCCCAATTTACTCTGGGCTATGGAAATATCAAGATGTTTCTGCTTTAAATCATTTTATAAGTTATTACAATATGAAAATTTATAAGTCTAAACAATAGCCAAGTGTACACACACACTTTCCCAGAGACATGATTTATCTAAAAAGGTCAGTTCCTTCGTCTTAATTCTGATTTGCACTTCATTTTTAAACAAGATTTTATTTATTTAGTTTTGTGTAGAACTGGGGTATAGGGCAGAGGTGAGGAGGGGAGAGAGGGTTCACAGAGACAGAGTGGGGAGAAGAGCAGGCTGGACAGGAGATGTCTGCTGCACCATAGGTAGGTTAGATCCTTGGTCAGGAATCAAACTCTGGTCGTTGAGGTGCTAGCACTAAGACTAAATCCCTAGGCCACCAGGGAGGCCCAGCTTTGCATTTTAGAGAAAGCAATTTCACCTGCCTTCTTTATAATATACTCAGTACTGAAATCAATCAAATGAAGAAATGAGTTCTGGTTATTACTTGTTTTCCATTTATAAAGGTGTGTGTGTTTTTTTATTTATTTATTTTTTTTTTTAAATAGAGGCATGCTTTATTTATTTATTTTATTTGTTTGTTTGTTTTGTTTATACATGCACTGGGTACAGTCAGAAGCGCGGGAGGGTGAGAGAATTCACCAGAGCCAGAGCGGGGAGCAGAGCAGGCAGAAGGACCGAAGTACACTGCTGAGGGGAGCAGCGGGCGGCAGGAGAGGTCTGCGCGCCATGTGGGACCCTCCTCCAGTGGCCAGGAAGCAGCCGGGGATCGAACCGGCGCCACAGAGGCCGCGGGCAGCTTCGCAACCCAGCGCCACCGGGGAGGCCCTGTGTGTGTTTTTTTAAAAAGATTTATTTATTTATGCATGTAAGAGCTGGGGTACAGGCCAGAGATGCAGGGGGTTGAGAGGATTCATCAGAGACAGAGCCGGGAACAGAACAGGTTGACTGACTGAAGCACACTGAGGGGAGAAGCAGGCAGACAGGAAAGGTCTGCTGCGCCATGTGGGTTGCTCCCTGGCTGTCTGGAGAGGCTGCAGATTGTTTCACAGTGTGGAGCTTAACACTTTGCGCCACCAGGGAGGCCCTAAGAAAGTGTTTTTATGGATCTGACCTGTGTGATCCAAACTACAATAGCATGAAAAAAAAAAAAAAATTCAAGAAGAAACCATAACCTGAACATTTTCAGTCATATGTTGATAAAAGGTAAGGGAAAGATTTAGTAATGCAGGGAAGGTGTTCCGTGCTAAGTTATCTCAGCAGGAAATGAGCTGATTACTTAGGCAAACTATGACCTTTGATCTAAGAAATGTTTTTACATTTACAAAAGAGTTGTTACATCAAGCAAGCAACGGCTGCTTGTATTGTAGTCCAGAGTCTAAAATATTTACACTACTTTATTAACTTCTGACACAGGCTATCAGAAGAAATTGGGATTGGATAAATAAGGAATCGTACACATATTCAGCGGGAAGAATACATCACACGAAAACAGGGCATTTCTTTTTCCCTTAGGAAGATTAGTCCAGAAAGCAAATACCAAGTATATTGGGGAATATTTTAACAAATGTTGGGAGAGGTTACATTATTTCAACAACTATTTAAACAGGGTCCCAAATGTGCCAAACTCTTCCAGTAATAAAATGATAAATTAAACAATTCAGTTGGGGATGAAAGATGTATTATCTGTTAAGCCTGCAGCAATGAGTGATACAACTAATTACTGGAGAGGCTCTAGCTCAAACATACATGGCTTTTCTGGTTTTCTGTGCACTGGTGATTTCTGCCATCACAACATTTTTGCGCTCAAAGATACTCATTCCATATCTCGCTTTACAAATGAGATCCAGCAACATAACTGAACTCATCTAGGACAACAGGCCATCTCTCCATCACTCTGCTGTGCCAACTATTAATAAATGAACCCATATATCATACAATTAAGGATTCTGATTTTCACAAATAACATTGATCATTTTAACTCATGTTCTCATCATTATCCACGACTATATCAGACTTGTCTGAATAAAAGCAACTGCACAAACTTAAAGCACTGCTCTCACTTCTCTTAGCCTACGCCATCTTCTGCCACATTTCTGCTATACAGCATTTCTGAACCACTGACAAGATAGTCCTTTCACAGAGATCATGATTAGAATTGAAAACAATGTCCATGGAAAAGTCAGAATTTAGGTGACTTTAGTCAACACTAGTTGACTAAACATTAGTCACATATTTTTCTGTTAATGGTTTAATGCCACAGTAGCCTGGGATATAGGGAAGTCCGTGGCTTAAGGAAGGCAACCCTGATCCAGGATAGTTACTTGCACCAAACAGTCACTTTCATCTGTAAAAACTAAGCTGTCACGAAACAGCTATGAACAACAATAGGTAGTCAGTTAGCCCAAGCAAAACTATTTTCATGAGGATAATTTTATAGTGGCATAATGATAAAGTATCAAAAAAATTTCAAGAGAATATTGAAATTTCTCGAAAAATTGCTAAACTTTCAATTTAGTAGGAATGTACATATGAAACTTAAAACACCAAAGCAAAACTCCTTTACTCTAGTATTTGCTCTAACAGGGTACCTTAAACTTTGCAACCTTTTAAAAAATCTAACACTCAAGACACATTATATAAACCTTTCCCAGAACAAAGAAGGTACTGGGTTTAATACTAGGTCACTTCTCTAGGGGACTGTCTTTTCACTGAAGTAGGTACTGCAGAAACAAATGATCATTTCAGCCCAAGTAAAACGATACCCTCCCATATATTTATATTGAGATCAAAACAATACTTAAAGGAAAATGCTAAATGGATGAGCTGCACACATACCAAATAGCTTGCTGGCTGTTTGAAAGCTACTTCTAAATTCAATCAATGAGATGCGTGCAGGGGGTAGCTGGGGAGAGAAACCATTCTTTATAATTCTAATATCGCAATTCTTAGGAAGAGTAAACTATAAAAATTTCACTGTTCAATACTTCTATTTATCTTCGAAAATACATAACTTTTTAGTCAGTGGAAGGAATGCAAAATGTTTGTGTTTCTTTCGAAGAGATTAAGTAAAAATAAAGTAACCACACAACTGGATCCATCAGGATGGCAAGCTTATTGCTTAGAAGAGAGAATTCAGGAACTAATTTTTGTTAAAAAATTAAATAGGTCAAAGGGGGGGGGGAGTCCTTAAATTTAAAGGAACATCGCTAAGGATACGATGTGATGCTGCTTTCCGAAGTCTTCAAGATGATTACATCACGAATCGCTTGGAAACCAAGCATCCATCAGAATTCGTAATTCCAAAGCTTTCCCCTCATTAAGCCGATTTTTACTCCTCTTCAGCAATACCTTCTCCAGCTCCTCACTGGGATTTCATAAAACAAGGTTTACACAGGCGGGTCATGATCGAAATTAAGCACTATCATCTCACTGCGTGCAGGTTAAAAAAAGTGTGAAGAACTGCCATCTTCTCACATTCTAACCCTACAAACACCGCCTTTTAGAGCCAACACTCTTCAAAGGCGACCCCCGATCTCTCTTCCCTCCTCCCCATCCCTTCTCCACTGCCAGCACACATCCCCAAAACCTAAAGAGGCTTAATCTAAAACGCTACCCAGACGGAGTCGGCTGAAGAGAGAGACAGTTCAGTGGGCAGAAAGGAAATCAGCCTGGGTAAGAGATGAGGAAAGTTCTAGAAAAGAGACTCCCGGCAGCTCCCCGCCCCCACCGACACCGCCTAGGCCCCCTCCCTCCAGCAGGCAGCCATGATGGCGGGCGCAGAAGAAGGCCGCGGCGCCATTTTGTCCACACACGCGCGCCGACAACAGCTTCGGGAGCCGTTCACTCGCTCTTTGGAGAGGAGCAGAAAAACATCCCTGACTTTGAACACAGATTCAGCACCTACCGCCATCGTCCAGAGTTCCGGCCGCTAGGGCGGCGCCTCTACTCGCCGTTTTTCAACAGTACCGGCCGCACCGAAGCTTCGCCACAGACTAAATCGCTCGCACAAGAGACCCGGATGGCACAAAGGGGCTGAGGCCCGGCGCGACGCACAGCTTGCTGGGAGGAAAGGGGGTGGGGATAAGGGTTTCTATAGTAACGCTGTTCGAGGCGGTGATTGGTTGTTGTTCCGAAGGGGCGTGTAACGCCAGGGAAGAGGGCGGGGTCGAGAAGACGCTCGAAAGCGTAGAGAACCGAAGGGGTGGAGCGACTTCCTGCTTCGCGTCTCAAGCCATCTTGGCCCGCCCCGGCCGCCGTCAAAGGGGTTGGGCTTGGTGTTCTCCCGCCAATTCAAATCGTGGCTTGGAATGTAATGAGATTAGTGGCGGTTTGGGGAGTCAGGAAGAGGGGCGCGACCCCCGTTCCTCTTTAGTTTCTTCAGCTGCAGGTGAGAAGGGGGAGCCGCGCTGCCCTGAGGAGCTGGGGGTGGGTTCGGGTCGAGGCGGCAGCGGCAGCGGCCTCGGCCCCGTCGGGTGTTTCCCCCCGGACAGTCCGGCTCTGGCCGGGGTCGGCTCGGGCCGTGGGTGCTCGGGGGCCTGACGCTTCTCTTCTCGCCCGTGGGCGCACGTTCGCTTCCCGGCCTGAGTGGTTTCAGAAGGTTATGAATCACGTCACGTCCCTCGCCTGCTTGGTGTTCTCCTCCCTGGCGCCGAGAATAAACCCGTCCTTTGACGTCGAGGCTTCCTTTAGCCCCGTCTGCCTCCCCAATCCTCTTGGTCCAGGGATTGCTTTTCATTTTAGGATCCTACTACCACCAAAATAACATACCCAAAATGAGTTACCTAGATCTTTGCTGAGGAGATGGTTACCTCTCCTAAGGTTACACGTTTTTATCCTCTTGTTCCAATCAGGTCCCTAATCCAGTTGTTTCCTGATCAGTTTCATTTACTGTAACAACTATTCTATGGACGCATTATTGGACTCCACCCTTGCGGTGCCCGGGAGCCCCCCTAGACTCCTTCCAACCTTTGCCGGCGTTGCGAACCCTCCCCCCTCAACCCCCGAGTTTTGCATAACTGGTTTCTTTGGCTCTCAGCTCAGGTGTAACCTGTTCCTTCCAAACAGTTCCTTCTTCGGCGACCCCCACCCCTCCCGTCCATTTGAGCCCCGCTTGTAATGATTTGTGTGTTTGCTCATTTTTTTTTCGTAGGAGGCGGTGTCTAGCTACATCACTTAACTCGCTTTAGGTGGCCTCGGTGTTTGTTTGATCCCTGACTCCTGTCCTTCACTGTAAAATGGGTTGAGTAGATTAAATGAGTAAAGCATTGAAAATTGCTAGACACCCAAGAAACAACACCCAATACGGGCTGTTATTTTTGTCCTTACTGCAAGAATATAAACTTCACAATGGCAAAGACTTCTGTCTGGTTCACAGCTCCTGGACTAGTGCCTGTCACATGGTGACATTCAGTAGGCATTTGTTGAAAGAGTTGGGCGTGGCAGCCCTGAAGGCTGATATTTTCCTCTTTTTACAAATGAGAAACACTGAGACCCATTGAAGTGTTCACTCCATCCAGTCCCTCCTGTCTTAATGTCCCAATTCCCACCCCAAAACCAGCCACTAAAACTATTTTCTATCCTCCTGAAATGCTTTGTTTCTGCATCTTTACTTACACTCTTAGAAAGAACTTTTTCCCCCTACATTTTAAAGCTCCTATTGATGAGGATCAGGGGTGTTGAGAGGTCCCTCCTGAGATTCTTCTTTGCAGTAAAGAATTCATATGGGAATCAGTGTAGTTGAGTTAGAAGTGAAGCTTTTTGTAGGGCTAGTACACACTCAAGATAGTGCAGGCAGGTTTCAATGGAGAAATTTGCACCTTGAGGTTGAAGGGAGATGTTACAGATGGGATGAGATTTGGTCAGTTTGTTAACCACTGGAGGGCCTCCCCGGTGGCGCAGCGGTTGAACGCTGGGTTGAACGCTGGGTTGTGAAGCTGCCCACAGCCTCTGAAGCGCCGGTTCGATCCCCGGCTGCTCCCCGGCCACTGGAGGGGGGTCCCACATGGCACGCAGACCTCTCCTACCGCCCGCTGCTCCCCTCAGCAGTGTACTTCGGTCCTTCTGCCTGTTCTGCTCCCTGCTCTGGCTCTGGTGAATTCTCTCACCCTCCCGCGCTTCTGGCTGTACCCAGTGCTTGTATAAATAAATAATAAATAAATAAATCTTTAAAAAAAAAAGAACCATTGGACCCTAACCTCCTGTTAGTAAGATAAGATAGGAGACATATTTACAACTAGCGGCACCTGTTGTGAGATAAACTAATAGGATTTAAATCTACTTGGTTTTGGAATGTGCATGGCTGTTTTTTAGAAATGCTACATGGGGGGAGGTGGAAGTGGGTTGCAACCATTGTGCTAAATTCCTGCTCTGCCTCCCTGTGACCCCAAATTCCTAACCCAAGTGTTATCTGCTTCCACCAATAATAATAATAAATAATTTTACAATGAGTGATTGCCATGAACCAAGCATTGTTTTATGAACTTCTGAAACTCATAACTGCCTTTTTTTCTATAGTACAACTAAATTCCTTTTTTATGGACTGGAGAATTGAGGAACACAAAGATTAAGTTTCTTGCTCAAGGATAACAGACTAGTAAATGTGAAAGAGTTCTAAATCAAAAACCAGCCCTTCCTCCTCAAAAACAATTGAAATTGGGCTTCCCCGGTGGCGCAGCGGTTGAGCGCTGGGTTGCGAAGCTGCCCGTGGCCTGCCGCGCCGGTTCGATCCCCGGCTGCTCCCCGGCCACCGGAGGAGGGTCCCACATGGCATGCAGACCTCTCCTGCCGCCCGCTGCTCCCCCCAGCAGTGTACTTCGGTCCTTCTGCCTGCTCTGCTCCCCGCTCTGGCTCTGGTGAATTCTCTCACCCTCCCGCGCTTCTGACTGTACCCAGTGCATGTATAAACGAACGAACAAACAAACAAATAAATAAATAAATAAAACATGCCTCTATTAAAAAAAAAAAAAAAAAATTGAAATTATTTGGTTAGTGTTTCTCCCCTAGTCTTGGTCCAGCGATTGCTTTTCATTTTAGTATTCTACTACCACCAAAATAACATACCCAAAATGAGTTACATAGATCTTTGCTGAGAAAATGGTTACATCTCCTAAGGTTACATGTTTTTATCCTCTTGTTGCAATCAGATCCCTAATCCAGTTTTTTTTCTACTCCCCTGATCAGTTTCATTTACTGTAACAACTATTCTATGGACACATTATTGGACTTTTTTTTTTTTAAAGCTCAACTGGAACCTACCATCCTAAAATATTCCAGTCTGACTTCAGAGCCTTCACTATTAATTGCTACCATGATTAAAAGTTTATTTCAAATGAAAACTTGTTATAAATTCAAGCTAGGCACACACAATACAAAGTGCTCCAAGATACCTGGTAAGGTCATTATAGTTTATATTCTTAAACCAATGTGTCCAGTTTCTTGTGACTGCAGAAATAACATGAAGACAAACAAGACTTTATTAATACATGTTGTGGGAAGGATATCAGGGATAAGGGTAGAGGTGTGAGGGTGAAAGAATTCACCAGAGATAGAGAACAGAAAAGGTGGATTTACTGAAATACACTGCTAAGAGAAGGAGTGGGTGAGGTGGGAGAAGTCTGCATGTCATGGAGGATTTGGGGGTTCCCTTTTACGGTTTTTCATGACTGGGGAATGGTCTCTGCCAGTTGCTCTAGGACATCAGGTTTTGCTGGGCCTTCTGCTTTGGAGGTGTCCTGCTGGATTCGTTTGCTGGGAATCTAGATGGCCCCCATTGGCCATGTGGCCCCATGGCCAGGTTCCCGTGGAGATTCTATAGTTTCCCTTCCTTAGCTATCTTGTGTCTCCCAGCATTGTTTAACTTAGCAAAGTGCAGAGACACTAAGTTTTAACTGTATTAAATCATACCTCCACAATAAATACTTATTATTTTTGCATAAGTCATTTTATTTCTCAAGGAACTGCACTCTGCAGCAGTATGATTTGGTCTGTAATTTTGTTTTTGTCACAGGGAAGGCAGTGGTTCCTGACTTAGGAACACAATCTGAGGAACATGTGGAACGATATTGAGCTGCTAACAAGTGATGATACAGGAAGTGGGTACCTCAGTGTTGGTTCAAGAAAAGAACATGGAACTGCTTTATATCAAGTAGATTTACTAGCGAAGATCTCCTCGGAAAAGGTAACGATTTTTTTTTTAAAGATTTATTTATTTATGCATACAAGAGCTGGGGTACAGGCCAGAGGTGTGGGTGGTGAGAGGATTCACTAGAGACAGAGTGGGGAACAGAACAGGCAGATTGACTGAAGTACACAGCTGAGGGGAGCAGCGGGGGAGTCAGGAGAGGTCTGCTGCACCATGTGGGTTGCTCCCCGGCTGGCCGGGAATTGAACTTGGGCTGCAGTGGCTGCTGATTGCTTTGCATCTCAACCCCTGTGCCACCAGGGAGGCTCTGAAAAGGTAACAATTATGCTGCTGTTTTTATTCACATAATGGGTACTAAGTGCTTCGGGGGGCCAAGTAGCTGGATGACCCATGTTTTATGAATGAATATAGCATTTTTTTGTTTTTTAAAGATTTATTTATTTATACAAGAACTGGGGTACAGGCCAGAAGCACTGGAGGGTGAGAGAATTCACCAGAGACAGAGCAGGGAGCAGAACAGGCAGACGGACCAAAAACACTGCTGAGGGGAGAAGCGGACGGGGCAGGAGAAGTCTGCTGTGCCATGTGGGACTCTCCCTGGCTGGCCGGGAATCGAACCTGTGCTGCAGAGGCTGCGGACAGCTTCACAGTGCTGCGTTCAACCCCTTGCGCCACCGGGGAGGCCTGAATATAGCACTTTCTAAAGAAGTCAAGTTTCACTCTCAAATTACTTGAAATTTCCATTTGCTATTTCCAAAGTAGGATTTTTCATAGCTCCTGTTGACATTTTGGACATGCAGAATGTATAGGGGAATCAAATAAGGGGCCAGGAAAAAAAAAAATTAAAAAACAAAATAAACAGGCAACTAACTATCAATCAGAGATACTCTGCAGGTGTGGAGGAGGAAGAGGAATCAAAACAGGGGAGGGAATGTGTTCTTATGCAGGGGACTATGATGGTGCACTGGTGAGTTGGTGATAGAAATTTTGGAGGGACTATGCCTGAGAGGAGAAAGCATGCATTGTATAAAAAGGAAGAATGATGTAAAATATATATAAAATTAAATTAAATTATAAAATAAGGATAAAGCACCTGAAGGAAAAAAAAATAAAATGATACAAAGAATATCTACCATAGGTTTAGGAAATAAAACTTTATAATAAACCCTGGGGGCCTTTCCTGATCACAGGCTCTTCCCCCACACCACCCCCATGGTAAGGACTCTGCTAGAGTTGAGTTTTATCCTTTCCATGCATTTCTTTCTCCGTTTTAATTAATTAATTAATTAATTATTAGTATTTTTTAAAGATTTATTTATATAAACAAGAACTGGGTACAGGCCAGAAGTGCAGGGGGTGAGAGGTTTCACCAGAGACGGATTGGGGAGCAGAACAGGTGGATTGAATGAAACACACTGCTGAGGGGAAGGAGCAGCGGAGAGGCAGGAGAGGTCTGCTGCACCATATGGGTAGACCCCTTGCCAGGGATCAAACTCGTGCCACAGTGGCCACAGATAGCTTCATAGGTTGCCCCAACCCCTTGTGCCACCGAGGCCCCATTTTAATTAAAAAAAAAAAATTCCACTATTTTCCTTGAAACCTTATTTTTTGCCTCTTATAGAAAGTAGTGCTGTTAAGATTTTTTTTAGTCTAGATTTTCCTTTTTAGTAATTGTTTCTGATAATGTATTGATGATCTTGGTAAGTAAAGGTTTCTGTACAAATGATCTTCAGTCACAGTAATAGAACCCAGGGACCCTAGTAAGACAATATAGCATTTAATTCTCTAAAGCGCGTTCTGGTGGGGACACGTAGGAAAGGGGCAGAAGGAGCCGGATAAGAAAAATTAAAATCGAATTCAAGATAAACACTGGCATTGTTTACCCCACCCCGCCCCGTCCGTTTCAGCTGTCTCCTTCCATCTTCCAAGTCCATGGCTGAGACACAAGTGCAGTTTCTTCACGTCTCTCTGCGCCTCCTCCAGGCCTCCTCCTTGTTCTTCTTCCTTCTTCCTTCTCTCCAGCTTCTCCCTGCTCAGCTCCACCTTTCCTTGGGTGGGGCAGGGAACCTGGAAGCTCCCCTTTCCCTGGGGGCCACCCCATCCAAGCAGGGACTTGGATGGTAAGAAGCAGTGTCCTCTGGCCTTTATCAATGTCAGCCATGGACATAAAGCCACATTTTTAAAGATAGTCTCGTCCTGATATTAAATAACTGAGTTTCATTTTGAAAGTGAGCGGATAGTCAAGTAATTTTCAGAAAATTATCATCAAGTAGGCCTAAGAGCCACATCTTGAGAAGCTGTGAACCGGGGGAGGGCTTCTATAACTCCCTGGGGTGGCTGCAGGGAAGACTTCACAGACCAGGAAGCATTTGAGATGGATTTGAAGATAGGAATTTTTCCAGACACAGAAGGGAGAAGAGTCAAAGAAAATTAAATGACAACATGTGGCTGTTTAGACTGTGCTGGTTAGGAGACTGTGCAGAGATGATGATGATAATGGAGAGGGGCAGGGGAGAGCGATCCAGGCAGAGAGAACAGCCAGTCAGTTCCTGGGAGGGATAGCATAGTTCTTTTGCAGTGCGTGTTGTGACTTATCATTAGTCAGGGAAGCAATTTTAAAATGTCTGAGAGAGGGCCTCCCTGGTGGCACAGGGTTAGTTAAGTCTCTGCACTATGGAGCTGTCCGCATCCAGCACAGCGTGAGTTCGATCCCCGGCCAGGGAGCTGACCCACATGGCGCAGCAGACCTCTCCTGACTCACCCGCTGCTCCCCTCAGCAGTGTATTTCAGTAGATCTGCCTGTTCTGCTCCCCACTCTGTCTCTAGTGAATCCTCTCACTCCTCATACCTCTGGCCTACCCCCCAGTTCTTGTATGCATAAATAAAAATAAATCTTTTGAAAAAACTTCTAAGAGAGATCAGAATGTAGACTTTTCCAGAATTACACCTGGAGAAAAGGACCACTGACATGGGCACACAATGAGGTGATTGGCTTAGTTTGTCAGGGAAGAGTAAGTGCAGCCAACATTTACAGTGCTATCCCGGTGCGAGGCTCTCCTCTGCGCCTTTTCCGTGCATCCATTTCTTCTCCATCCAAGTTGGTGTGGTGGGTCTTGTTATCGTCACCATTGTTTACGGGGAAATCCTGAGGCATTTGCCCAAAATTACTTAGCTAGCGAATGGGCATTCGCAACCACTGCACTGCCCGGCTACTTCAAGGCAGAAGTGTGTGTGGGAAGATCTAAGCTACGGGAGCTGAAGCTCTGGAGACTCATGGGCTTGCATAGTGTTTTGAAAAATGTTGACTTACCTGCCAATATTTTAAAGTTCGAACATTTCCCATAAAGATCCAGGTTTTCTTGATACTTTGGAAGGTGTGACCACGGCAGGCAGGCAGGCATTCCCACTGCTCGAGTCTCCCACAGTATCCTGGTGGGTTCTGCTCTCTTTAATTTGTGCAGGGGTGTCCCTTCTGGCTCACAGTGACCCACATGACTTCCCTGTTGCATCCCAGACACAGACTTTATGCCAGCATTGGCTCATTCCTGCAGGAGGCCTGCTGGCCCCAGGCTTGTACACTGGGATCCTTCACCCATCCCTCGCAATCTTGGACTCTTATCTTGGGCCCTAGATGCATTCAGGATATACCTTACAAAGAGAAATTAGAAATAAAATACGGGCTTAAGATGGATGCTCTGGAGTATGATGACACTATTGATAAGTACAGCCAACCCTCTGTGTCAGCAGGAGATTGGTTCCAGGACACCCGGTGATACCAGATCCTCAAATGCTTAAGACCCTTATATACAGTGGCATAGTATTTGCATGTCAGCTCTGCACAACCTCTCACATACTTAAGTCATGTCTAGACCAGCTATCAGACCCAACACAATGTATCTCCTATAGAGAGTCGTTAACTGTATTGTCTAGGGATCAATGACAAGGAAAGGCTCTGTACATGTTTAGTACACACCATGTAGGTTAGCTGTTGAGACTCAGTTAAGGGCCTACCAAAAATGTTTTGTTTCCCTCATGCTTTTCCCTCTCACAGGCCTCTTTCAATCCAAAAATACAAGCGAGCAGCTTAAATGATGGGTTTATTGTTGTAGCCGACCAGTCGGTGATATTGCTGGACAGCACTTGTAGGTCACTTCAGTTGCATCTTATATTTGGTAAGTCGAATGTCAAGCAATAAAATTAATTGGAAGTCAAATGTATTTTGCTACCAGTTTCTATCACTTTGTCTTTTCTTTGCCCCATTATTTTTAAGACTTGAGACTGAACTAATTTAAAGAAGTTGATCTTGAGTGCCCTTTTTGTGTTGAGTGCTAAACACAAAAGATGCTGAGATAAACCCTTCTCTCTATAAGTCTCAGGCGAGACATACACTTGAATTGCATGGTTTTGTGTTATAAGACTGTAGAAAACAGTCCTGAATCTTGTACATAATTTTGAAATCAACAGATATTTGAATTCTTTTTTTAAGTTTTTTTTTTTTCAAAGATTTATTTATTTATACAAGCACTGGGTACAGTCAGAAGCGTGGGAGGGTGAGAGAATTCACCAGAGCCAGAGCGGGGAGCAGAGCAGGCAGAAGGACCGAAGTACACTGCTGAGGGGAGCAGCGGGTGGCAGGAGAGGTCTGCGCGCCATGTGGGACCCTCCTCTGGTGGCTGGGGAGCAGCCGGGGCTCAAACAGGCGCTGCAGAGGCTGCGGGCAGCTTCGCAAACCAGCGCTCAACTGCTGCACCACCAGGGAGGCCCCAATAGTTAGGAATTCATTGAGTTAGAGGGTTTCAAGTTTACACCAACATGGATATGAGTAAATTAGTCGGCAGCCACACTACTCTGAATGTGGCCAACCTCATCTAATCTCGGGAGGATAAATGTGGGGACAGGTCAGTGATTGTGCTGAGAAACAGGTGAAAATATTGCAAAAACCTTTTCTGCCTTGAGTAGAAATTTTGAGAAAGGCTGATTGTTGAGGTGTTTTCATGAGAACTGAAACAAATGACAAGGAATCAGAAGGCATGCTTTTGAGAACACAAGTCTTGATGGATATATGGAGGCAAGAAACTCATGTTTTGTGGAATTTGTTATATCTATCTGGATCAGTCATAAGACTCACGTTTTCACTAAGAAATCGTAGTGTGTTAGTATATAGTACATTTGTAAAAAATATTTACTGCTGAATAATTCTCCTTCAGAAGCCATTTACACTTTTTTTTTGATTGAACTAACAATGGTTTACAACCCAGTATATGATTCAGAGGTACAGGTTCACATCTCTTCAGATGTATGTTACCATACCACACCCACCACCAAGAAGACCCATAGTCCTCTACTATAGTCCATTGGGCTCCCTACCTCCCCATTCCCTCTCTAGTAGCCTCAATTCTGCAGATTTCTAGGGTTTGTTCTTGGTTTGAATTTGACCCTTTGTTGTTTCTCTGTATTTCACAAATGAGTGAAACCAGTATTTTTCTTCTTCTGACTTATTTTGCTTAGTATTTTCTTCCCTTCCAGTTCTGCCCATGTTGTCGCATATGGCAAAAGTTTATCATTTTTTTATAGCTGCGTAGTATTCCATCACAATAATTCCCTTGTTTCTTACTTTTCCCCCTCTGCTTCCATTTCACTCCCCTTAGCCTTTTTGCTATTGCGTAAACGATAACTTCTGCACCTTGGGAAGAGCACTGTCCTCAGTGATTTGTATGCCTCTTCTGAGCTCTTACCGGGCTTTACTTTTCCTTTGTTTTCTTACATGTCATATAATTTATCATGTGAATTGTTTATCATCTGTTTCTGCCTTAGAATGTGAGTTCCATGAAATCTTTTATTACTCTCAATTTATGCAAAAAGCCTGGAACAATACTTAGCAAATAATAAGCACTCAGTAAATATTTGTTGTCTGAATGAGAGTCAGTGGCATCTTTTTTACCTCAATCCCCACATTTTTGAAATATTTAAAAGAAGCTTAAGTAGTTGATTTTTAATGACGAAATTTGTGATTTTTTTGTATTGAAAGAGACACTTTCGAAGTAAGCTTGTAACTTTGACTTTAAATTTTCAGATACTGAAGTGGATGTAGTTGGCCTTTGTCAAGAAGGAAAGTTTCTTTTGGTTGGGGAAAGAAGTGGCAACTTACATCTCATTCATGTAACCTCAAAGCAAACCTTACTCACTACCGTAAGACCCTGCTATGTTTTTCATTTTCTCTTCAATTCTAATGATCTCTGAAAACACCTAAAACTCCAGAAAAACCGTTACTTTGCTTTCAGTTAAAAGGATGTTTCTTTACATTGAAGAATCGTACCTTAGAGACGCAGGGGGTAAATGCATAACTGATAAATTGAGCTTCAAAGATATAAACAGTAGGATTGTCCACTTTAAAATTAAAATGTTTGGTATATAGGTGGAATTATTGCTAATTTAGTTGTTAACCCTTGGGCTTGAAGAATATAAGACTTGATTATATTTTTGGGGGGGTTTAATTTTATCACTTGAAATTATTTTGCAATTAGGCATTTGTTCAGAAGACTGATGATGAGAAGCAACGCACTTACCAGAGTCTTGTTATTGAGAAAGATGATTCAAGTGAAGGTAAATTTTTTGGAATGGCTTCTGCTTGATACTTGATTGAAAAATCGGGTTATAGTTAATACATTGTATAAATTCATCATTGTACTACTTATACAATATTAAGTTTTCTACTGATGCAATTAACATCACTGTAACATGTTTTTTAACTCTTTTCAGGGGTTAAAATACGCTTTTCCTACATGCATTATTCTAAACTAATTTTTATGTTTTTGTGAGTTCTGTAGATCATCAAGGAGATCTTAAATTTTTTAAAAATGCCTTTTTGGGTTTTGACATATTTGTCACATTTTTACTTCAGCAATGTTAGCCAAACCTTAATTTATTTTGATACATCTTAAGATTATTTTCTTGGAAAAAAAAGTTTTTTTAATAAAAACCTCAAAGAAGTTAACATTGTTTTTGCAAGTAACTTACCAATTCTTTATAAATAAGCCTTAACTATATCACTACTATATTACTGATAATTAGAATTTAAGTGAGCAAATTGACATACTGTTAAGCTAATTCCAGATACTGGGCTCAATTTTGTATCCATTTAGAAAAACTGGGTTCAATTTTATTTTAATAGGTTCCTATTCCATGCTGCTTCTGACAAGCAGTGGATTTTTTTATATTACAAACCTCCAGCTTGTAGGAATTCAACAAGGTAAGTAATGCATCATTGTTATTGATTTGAAGCTATATTTCTTATTTTTCTAGGTTAACTTTAAAGTATTTTCTTTAAGAATATTTCTCTTTATTGCGTTCTATGATACTCAGTATAATTTCGAGTATTTGTCATCTACTTCTGTGCTGTTCAGGCTGCTAGAGAATCCAAAGAAATCTAGTTTGTTCATAGCCTTCGGGGAGTTTATAGCTCAGTTGGGAAAACAAGACAAACCTAGTACAGTAATAAATAGCTGTGTTTTGAGGGAATGAACCTGGAAACCCAAGTGATTGAGCGCTAAGGGAACAGAGCAAAAATCTGCGCTTGTGCTGAGTGAGTGCTGTGACTTTATGTCCCTCTGAGCTGAGAGAGATTGAGGAGTGGGAGCAGGGAATATATTCAACAACAACAAAAGAATTAATTTGCTACATGCCAAGAAAATGCAAGATTCTGGGGATACACAAGATTTCAGATACATAGTTCTCCGTAGTTTCACGAAGGAACACTGCAAGACGAGAGCAAGTGATGATGGCTCCGCAGGTCTTGAACTTCTGAGCTTGAACAGCAGTAGGAGAGTAGGAGCTGGGAGAATGCCCTCTTGGTAGGAAGAACCGTGGTAAGGGAAAGTCAGGGGAAATTCTGCGCCCTAGAGGGCAGCCTTGGAGTTGTCCTGAGCACAGCCTGTGGTCAAGGGCAAACCTGGAAAGTCACCGCTGCCTCAATTTCTGACCAGTGTTCTTTTCACTAGATTGTATATAATTTCACCTTAACCCAGAAGGGGTGACTTGTATATTTTATAGATCAATACTATATACTGTAGCCTGCTTTCTTTTTCCAATGCAGCAATCGAGAATGCTGACTTCAATGCCGCAAAGAAGGTAAGAAAACATGTTGTCTTCTTGAAGCTTAAACATCGAATGTGAGTTGAAGAGAGTGTTTCTGAATCGCAATGGTCTTGATTGGTATTTTGGGAATTTACCAGCAGATAACATTTTAGTATTGCTATTTAAAAATCTATTTATAACTGATTGATATAAACTGTTTTTTGTCAACCTTCCCCAGGAATTTGGACTGTGGTGTATAGCTGTAACATTCTTGATTTTTTTTTTTAATTTTGTAGTTACAAGGAGAAATCAAGTCCAGTTTTATTTCCACTGAAAAGTATCATCCTCTTGGTTGTCTCAATCTTGTGGCTGGCGATTTAACTAGTGAAATTCCTGTGATAATTGGGGTAATTCTTTTTCTGACATTTCACTTTTGTTGTCTGCAAAGTTCCTTCATTAAAGCAGTTTTGGTTGAATTATGAACTCATTTGTAATATTTAACAGAAACAAAGAAATCATAAAGTTAAGCTCAGGTTAACACAGTAAGTAACCTAAGTTTCTGTATTGGAAAAAAGATCTTGTCTTTATTTTTAGTAACCCCCACCTGAAATTTAGAATTTCTTTTAATTACAAGGGTAGGCAAAACTAACAAAAACAAAACCCTTGCAGTTTTGGCAGTAATGTGATTTTTCAGTATTAAATGTCGAAGATAAATAAAGTAATAAAAATCACATCATTGCAGCTGTCTTGAAATATTGTTTATGTCCCACTGCTTTTTTTACAACACACGTGGCAGGAGGTGTGATGACCATCAGTGACAAAGTCAGAAGTACTACTGATCTGTGTCATTTTGCCCACATTCATAGTTAAAAGAAATGTTAAATTTCAGATAGAGAGTAGTGAAAATAAAGCTGTAATTTTTTTTCCTGTCTGAGGTCATGGGTTCCTTGAACCCTGAGACAAACCATGTTAATATCCTCTATATTAGAGAAGAGTCCTAAGGAGGAAAAGGGCTTTAGTTTAAGCTCTCTTTGATAAATGATCCTGCATTATTCTTAGTGTGGTCTAGCTCACATCTTGCAAGTACATGTTATTAGTAAAGTGGAAAACTGTATAGGAAGGCATTGAGAAGGATCCTTCACCCACTGCTGTCAGAAAGAACTCTGTGGGATGTCTAATGTTATATATGAAAAGTAGCATTTGGGCCTCCCTCGTGGCCTGTGGGTTGTCTTAGCACTGTCACCATGAAGGCCTGAGTTTAATCCCCATCCAGGGAGCTGACCCCCATGGCGCAGCAGACCTCTCCTGTCTCACCAACTGTTCCACTCAGCAGTGTATCAATAGATTCACCTGTTCTGCTCCCCACTCTCTCTGGTGATTTTTCTCACTCTCTGTAGCTCTGGCCTACACCCCAGTTCTTCTACATAAAAATAAATAAATAATTTTTTTTTTAAAGTGGCATTTTATTATTTATGTGTAACTTGGGATTACTTTAGTCATAATTTCTTCGGATTTGGGAGTAAAACAAGTAATATTTTATTCAAGGAGCTGACAAAAAATTTAGTATCATTACAGCATTTTGACTTGCTGAATTTGTATTATATATTAAACAGTCACCTTTTCCCATTTTCTATATGTAGTTTAATATTTCATCAAGGTCTCAGATAATTAGAACTATATTTTGCCCAAATATTTGTGATTATTTTAATGAATAATTTTCATCAGAGGCTTGTTCCCTCTACACATATATATATTATATCCTGGAAGGGGTCTAGAGTTTACCCTGTGTCTTTTTTTTAAATATTTATTTATTGCATAGAAAAACTGGGGTGTGAGCCAGAGGTGGTGGGAGGGGGTGAGAAGTTCCACCAGAAACAGAGTGGGGAGCAAAACAGGCTGATCTACTGAAATACACTGCTAAAGGGAGTAGTGGGCGAGACAGGAGAGGTCTGCTGCGTCATGTGGGTCAGCTCTCTGGCTGACAACAGGGAGACCCTACCCTAAGTCTTAAGGGCACATTGCCTGAATGTGCCTACTCCTTATTAACTACTCACGTGACAGTAACAAATAGCACCAGTTCTATATTCTTGCCATTCTGTTCTGCTTAAAACAAGCTAAGAGAGGAACTGGTAAAAGCTTGTTGGACTTGAATACATAAATATGTTTTGGAGTAATAAGTACAACTTAGGTGTTTCTACTTGGAGGAGGATACAGACGTTAAGAACCAAATTTGCATTTGATGTTCCCTTTTCACTTCTGTAGGGAACTGGCAATTGTGCATTCTCAAAATGGGAACCGGTTTCTTCCAGAAAAGGAATGACAGTTAAGAATGTTATTGATGCAGAGATTATTAAAGGTAAAATAAGTTAATGAAACCACTTTTGATCATTATTGGTGAATTGTAATTTCCATGTCAATATATTAAGTCTGGCATTTGACCTAATTTACTAGATCATTCTTTGGAATAAGCCAGATGAATCTGATAATTGCCCCCTTACATCACCATTGTTGTTGTTGATATGTTACTGTAATTACTCTCCATGGGGGGATGGGGTTTAGCTTTTAGTGTCACCTAAAAAATTTTAAGATATAGAAGCAGGATTTAATGAGAATGGCAGCTTTTTGCTTAAATATAGTTCTGCCGTTCCATAAATACCTTGGTTTACTGTTGATATGTGGCTCTGTGTAATACAGAAATGTAACCTCACACCTCCTACTCTCTCTTTTGCAGGTGCAAAGAAGTTCCAGCTGATAGACAATCTACTTTTTGTTCTTGATACCGATGTATGTTTCTGTTAATTTTCCTTCAATGTTTTTACTTGGTATTATGTCAATAGTCCAACATTGTGCAAACACACAGGCTTTAGCCAGGGTGGTTTACAAATTCTGCATCCTGTGGTTTATTTCTGTATGCATTTCAAAAAACATATCCTGAAATGTAAATTCTTAGTCATCCAGACTAAAGGAAATGTGTTTTTTGCAGAATGTGCTGAGCTTATGGGATGTTTACACTCTGTCTCCCATATGGAACTGGCCCTCTCTTTCCGTGGAAGAGTTTCTTCTCACCACGGAAGCAGATTCACCTTCATCAGTTACCTGGTACGTTATGATGCTGGAGTGATATCCCTACTGTTAGGTACAGGTTTCTTGCCTGGCTCTGTTTGCTCGTTAGGTATCGTGTTTTGAATAACACTGAGCACACACTAGTGGCAAATCACAATTTCATTGTTGCTCCAATTCATCGAGAACAAACAGGCAATACAAACCTCCCAGCAATTGTATTAGAGTGTCTGGGCCTCCCTGGTAGCTCAGTGGGTTAAGCACAGCACTGTGACGCTATCCGCATCCTCTGCAGCACAAGTTCAATCCCCTGCTGGCCAGGGAATCTGCCCACATGGCACAGCAGACCTCTCCTATTTCCCCGCTGCTGCCCTCAGCGGTGTATTTCAGTAGATCTGCCTGTTCTATTTCCCACTCTGTTTCTGGTGAATCCTCTCAACCCCCGCACCTCTGGACTGTATTCTAGCTCTTGTATGCATAAGTAAATAAATCTTTTTTAAAAAAAGAAAGAGTGTCCACTCAGGCCATGAACATGCAGAAATCAAGTTTATTGTCACTATGTGAATCAGTTTTAACTTTTATACAAGAATCACTTTGTTTTAGCTTTTGTCTAACAGTCGGCAAAGCTTATCTAATACACTTAAACCTCTTTTCTCTTTTAGGCAAGGAATTACAAATCTCAAATTAGTAGCTCTGACAACTACTACTAATAAGAAGGTATTAGAAATTTTTTTTCATGTTTGTCCATATGTGATAAAAGAGCATGAATTACTGAAACTAAAATAATGTTATATGTCAACTGTATCTCAAAAATGTAAAAAGAAATTCATTAACTAATACAAAAGTATTCACAGCATATTAGCTCTTAAGCCACAGAGATAATTGACAAAGCAGAAAGAATCCTGCAGGCCCTTTTATCTATTTAAAAAAAAGAATTGGGCTTCCCTGGTGGCACAGGGGTTAAAGTCTCAGTGCTATCAAGCTATGTCCAGCCACTGCAACCTGAGTTTGATCCCTCGCCAGGGATCTGACCCATGTGGTGCAGCAGATGTCTCCTATCTTGCCCACTGCTCCCCTCAGCAGTGTATTTCAGTAGATCTTCCCACTCTGTCTCTGGTGAATCCTCTCACCCCCCCACACCTCTGCCTACACCCCAGTTCTATGCAAAAATAAGTAAATAAATAAAAATCTTTAAAAAAAAAAGGGTATAAATCTCAGCTTCCCATTTTAAGTAGCATTTCAAGAATAGAGATATCACCAAGAAAACTTTTCTTAAGAGTAATCTTATATAGTTCTGGTTCTAAGGAATTACATTCACCTTAAATACTAATTATAAAATGGACCTTGGGTATCTAGGTTTTCCTTCAAAAGATTTGAAAGGTGGAGTACAACATAATCTCATGTAACAGATTTACTTACAAAGTTATGTTCTGCATTTAGCTTTGTACCAAGTATTTTAATCTGTGTCCTTGATTTATGAAGTGCTGTCTTGTGCTCGGAGGTTTATACTGACTGCTGAATTAAATTGCTTTACTGTTTTTTCTTAGGTGAAAAACTTCATGGTTTATTCATTACCTACAATGGAAATCCTCTATTCTTTGGAAGTATCTGGTGTTTCTTCTCTGGTCCAAACAGGAATTAGCACAGTAAGTTTCATTATATTTTGAAGTACTTTATAACAAAAAAAGAAATTAGTGTTTAAGTTTAGCATGAGTGAAACCTAGTGGAATACCTGGGTAGATCCAGCTTGATCACTGTATTTGTTATAATCAGAGCTCCTCAGGTATGCTTCCTCAAGGTCAGTCTTCATATTAAAATAAGAGACAGAGAAAAGCAAATTAATCAAATTTGTAAAAAACACTACTACATTTGTTTCAGCTCTTTATACACACGCACACGTGCACATGCAGTTTTTCCAAACCATTTGGAAATTACTTGGCACCCCTATTCTCTTCACCCCAAACAACCCACTTAAGAAGGATATCATTCTACAACACAATAATCGAACTCAGAAAATTTTAAGAGGAATACAACACTGATATGAATTACACCATCCACATTTAAATCTTAAAGCTCTCTCTTTACCTTAAAGCTATTTCTTTGCCTGATCCAGGATCCAGCCTCGACTTTAGTTGGCGTGTCACACGGTCGACTCCTTTAGGCTAGAGCAGTTTTTGTCTCCTACGACGTTGACATTTTTCGCAAGTCCTAGTCTGTGTGGAGTAGAATCTATTTGGATTTGTTTGACTGTTTCACAATCAGATTCACGCCAGGCTTTTTGGGGGCAAGAACACTGAGTACAAAAAACTGTCCTAACTGCATTGAGTTAAGGGGCTAATGTCCATTTGCCCCGTTATTGGTGGTGGTAAATTTGATTTGCGGGGGCCTCCCTGGTGGCACAAGAGGTTAAGATGCAACCTATGAAGCTTACCGCAGCCACTGCAGCACGAGTTCGATCCCCGGCCAGGGAGCAACCCACATGGCGCAGCAGACCTATCCTGACTTTCCCACTGCTCCCCTCAGCAGTGTATTTCAGTCAGTCTGCCTGTTCTGTTCTCTTCTGGCTCTGGTGAATCCTCTTACCCCTCACACTTCTGGCCTATACCCCCATTATTGTATGTATAAATAAATAAATCTTTAAAAAAAAATTTGATCAGCGGGATATGGCGCTTTTGCCCAATTTCTCCATGGTACAGGTGCATCAGCCCTTTTGTAACTAGTAAGGTGTTTCTGTCGTGCTTTCTTGAGACTAATAGACTATTTGCCCAATAGTTTCTCCCACTGTTTTTTAGAATCCACTAATGGACAATTCCTGCTCTGGTAACTATATGATGAATTATTTTTTTATTCCAATTTTAAATATGCTTTTGCTGTTGTTGTAGGATACCATATATCTTCTGGAAGGAATTTACAAAAGTGATCCACAGTAGGTCATGTTTTACTTTATCAGATAAGTTGTTAAGTAATAGCTTTGTTCCATTTACTTGTTAAGTGACAGATAAACTTCAGAAAATTTTTTTTTCAGACCATCTGAAGACTCAGTGTCTGTTTTAGTCCTCAGATGTCTTACAGAAGCTTTACCAGAAAATAGGTAACCAGCTTCCCATTTTTTTAAGCCTTACCCATTAATGAAAAACTCAAATTCCCTGATAATTGAAGCTTTTACCCAAATCTCTTTTTCTCCTCAACAGGTTGAGTCGGTTACTGCACAAACACAGATTTGCGGAAGCTGAGAGCTTTGCCATTCAGTTTGGACTAGATGTGGAGGTAATTATTCATGGATTCACTTCCCATCGCACAAATGTCTCCTTGGGTATAAGAGGCTGGGGAGACGAACACACAAAACAATTGCAATTTAGTGCGACCAGCCCATGACTAAGATAAGGCCAAGGTAGAGCAGGGATTCAGAGGGAACATTGTCCCATGGTGGGGTGGGGAGATTCCACTGAGGAGGTAAATTTTTATCTCAGATCTTGAAGATGTTCTGGATAGTCCAGAAAGAGAGGAAGGGAATTCGAGGGATAAGGACAGCATAAATAAAGGACGGGGAGGTCTGTGGTGCTTCCAGGAATTCCTAGTACTCAGGTGGGACTGGAGGTGGGTTATATATGTGAAGGCATGAGTGGAGGTGATGATGAAGTTGAGGGTCAATGCCTGGAGGTTCCTCAATGCTTCGCAGAGGATTTAGATTTTATTTGCTGGTGTTGGGGAGCTACTGAGCATTTTAGGCAGGAGAATGTCTTGATTCAGCTGTCATTTTTTATAAAGAGGGAGAATTGTTTAGAGAAGGGCAAATCTGGGCATGCAAAGACCAGCTGGGAGACTCTGTCTGGGTGACTGGACCAAGAGCAGTGAGGCGTGCTGTGCGAGCAAGAGCTGGTGAGAGGGGCAGGCGGGAGGGGATGCGGTCGGGTGTGGTGATCCAGTCAGGGCAGGGATGCGTGCAGGGAACAGACAAGCGCGGCTGGCTTGGCATTTTAGCTGGATGGCATCCCCTGAAAGGGGGAGAGCTGGTGAGGAGTAAAAGATGCTTCTTTTACACGGCAGAAGCCGTAAGGGATCTTGTGAGGTGAGCTAAATCTAGACAGCTGACACTGGGGAAATGACTCAGGCCATGTGTAGGGTGAGAAAAGAGCCATAGATGAGATCAAGGGGCACCAGCATGTGGGGGCTAGAGGAAAATAGACTAAAAATATATTTGGGAAGAAGCAGAGGAAGGAAAGCACAGGAATGTACAATCATAGAAACCAAAGAGGGAGAAACTTGCCAGGTCAGTGGGGCGCAAGCAGCAGCTTCAGGTTCTACAGACAAAGTCAAATATAGAACCAGAAAGATGCTGGATTTGTCTGCTAGGTCAAGGGCATCCCTTGAAAAATCCTGGGGAGTAATGACGGGGGGAGCCTGACTGGAGTCCATTGTATGGTCATCTTTTGACACCAGTGCCACTGCTTTGGAACTGTGTCATGTCACACATTACTTACTCTCTAGTGTCAATGTCCCTGATTGCAAAGTGGGGGTTTTAGTGCTGACCCCTTGGGTTAGGATGGCATGTACATCCTCACTTAGGTTTTTATGAGAATTACATAAGCTCATGCACTTAAAGCTCTTAGTATACTGCTTGACACATTTAATAAGGACTCAATAGAAATCACTCTTCATCACCTGGATTACCTTTCAGTTACCTACATGTTACCTCCTCAACAGTCTCTGATACATGAGGATTCACTTTTCATATCAGTTTGTTGCATGCAGTCCGGGAAATCATCCACAAGCATTATTGTGCCTTACGTTGCTTGATGTGGTGTGTTCATGTTCCAGCTTGTTTACAAGGTAAAAGCAAATGATATCCTGGAGAAATTAGCTTTGACTTCTGTGGACACCAGCGAGCAGTGCAGGTGGCAGGACCTTGTAGATGAAGCTAAGGAAAACCTATGTAAGATTCAGGTGTGTGTTCCCCCCCATGTAGAGAGTGCTGGGGCTGCTGGATTGGGCCACATTCAGGCTTCTCACTGTGTCTGGCATTTGTGAAACAGGATGATGAGTTCGTGGTGAACTACTGTCTGGAGGCTCAGTGGGTAACCTATGAAACGACCCAGGAAATGCTCAGTTATGCCAAAGCCAGGGTAAGTTTTCTTAACATCTCTACATTTTGGTTTGTCTTGCACAAAAGAAATGACTGCTTTTAAAAAAAGAAATGAACTTTTTCCATCATAAACCTTTTAGAAGGTGCTTTTTTTTTTTTGTAGCTATTACAAAGAATGCCTTTTTTTTTTTTTTAAAGATTTATTTATCCATACAAGAGCTGGGGTACAGGCCAGAGGCATGGGAGGGCAAGAAGATTCTCCAGAGACAGAGCAGGGAGCAGAACAGGAAGACAGACTGAAAGCACTGCTGATGGGAGCAGCAGGCGAGACAGAAGAGGTCTGCCGCACCATGTGGGTATCTCCCTGGCCAGCCAGGAATCGAACCTGCGCTGCAGAGGTTGCGGACAGATTTCACAGCACTGTGCTCAACCTGCTGCGCCACTGGGGAGGCCCCAATAATGCCAGTTTTGCTGTGTGTTCCTGGCCATGACCTTTGATGCCATTGCTAGTTAGAGTCCTGTTTACAGGCAGTAACATGCACAGAATGTTGTGAGCTGTTTATAAAATGCACTATCTTTAAAGATATGTTGATTTTTAAAAAGATATAGTGTTCAGTTTTTATCTCAGAGAGCAATACACTTTCATTTTTTTTTTTTAAAGATTTATTTATTTATACAAGAACCAGGGTACAGGCCAGATGTGCAGGAGGGTGAGAGGATTCACCGGAGACAGAGCGGGGAACAGAACAGACAGACTGACGAAATACACTGCTGAGGGGAGCAGCAGGCACGACAGGAGAGGTCCGCCACGCCATGTGGGACCCTCGCCGGCTGGCTGGAATTGAACCGGCGCTGTGGAGGCTGCGGAAAGCTTCAGGGTGCGGCGCTTAACTGCCTGTGCCACCAGGGGAGGCCCAATGCAGTTTCATTTCTAAAGATAGTTTTTTCCTTTTAAAGTCACAGAAAAATCCATCTTTTATGAACATCCTAATACAGTAATGTTCTAACCTTGTTTCTTATTGTTCATCGTAGCTTTTGAAGAAAGAAGATAAAACTGTTCCTGTCTATTCTGATGGCTTAAAAGAGGTAATTGCATTCAGTTTACAGGTTATTTTGGGTGAGAATGTGCCTTTACAATATGTTCTCCCATTCAAGATAAGTCTCCTTTTTCCTAGAGCAAGTTATTTATTTGCTTATGTTTATGGAGGTAGTGTTGGTTTATAACATTGTATGTGTCGGGCACAGGTTCGTGCCTCTGCAAATGTATATTTTCATGTTGTTCCCATCACTGAAGCTCCAAAAACCTTCCACTGTCGTCCACTCAACCTCTTTCCCCCTTTAATCCCATCGCATCACTCTCCCCGCCCCTTGCCCCTGTAGCATCAGTTTGGCTGTGAATTTTAAGCATTTGTTTTGATCTGTTCCTTTGCTTTGTTTTTTAAAATCCCACTTATGTGTGAGATCATCTGGTATTTGCCTTTCTCCTTCTGACCTACTTTATCCAAAGTTATCACCTCCAGTTCCATCCATCTTGTTGCAAAGGACAAAATTTCACCTTTTTTGTTGCTGAGTAGTATTCCATTTTGTATATGTACCAATCTTAATCCACTCCTCTGTTGCTGGATACTGAGGCTGTTTCCATAGCTTGACTGCTGTAACTAGTGCTGCGATGAACGCAGGAGTATGTCTGTTCATTCAAATCTATGTCTTAGTATTCTTTGGGTAGATACCTAGGATTAGGCTTACTGGATCATCGGGTAGAGCTATTTGTAATATTTTGAGGAACTTCCATACTCTTTTTGTAGGGGCTGCACTGGTCTGTATTCTCAGAGTATGTGTTTCCTTTTCCTCCGCACCCTTGCCAGCACTTGTTACTGCTCTTACTCATTTGGGCCATCTTAGTGACACTGAGATATGAGGTGCATTCTCATTGTGGGTTTTTTTTTTTTTTTTTTTTTTTTTTATTTATACAAGCACTAGGTACAGTCAGAAGCACGGGAGGGTGAGAGAATTCACCGGAGTCAGAGCGGAGGGCAGAGCAGGCAGACTGATGAAACACACTGCTGAGGGGAGCAGCGGGCGGCAGGAGAGGTCTGCGCGCCATGTGGGACCCTCCTCCGGTGGCCGGGTATCGAACCGGCCCTGCAGAGACTGACGGGCAGCTTTGCAACCCAGTGCTCAACCACTGCGCCACTGAGTGAGGCCCCTCATTGTAGTTTTGATGGGCATCTCCCTCATAAATGATGATGAGCCTTTTTCCATGTGCCTGTGCGCTGTGTGTGTGTTGTTTTTGGACAAGTGTCATTTAGAAGAACAATTTGTTTTTGTTTTTTTTTTCCTAAGGTTTTTATTTTTAATTAAAAAAATTTAAAACATATTATGGCGTCTATATTTTACTAAAAAATGAGCAGTGGTATAGCAATAATTATGTGAAGTGCTTTCAATGGATTTTTGGAGAGCCTTTGAAAAGAAATGGAAGGTAGAGATGAGGAAACAGTTTCTAAAACTGTAAGTTGGTGGGGTATTCAGAGGATGGCGTTGAATACTGATAAAGGCTCCTCTTTTAAGAGGAAGAAATTTGGCAGACCTGGTAGCAAAAAGGGAGACTGGATTCAGTAATGTCTCATTTGTCAGCAGGCCATCTGTCATTTCATTCTTCGTGGACTCACACCACCTGCAACACAGGCAGCATTTGAAAATCATTTTTCAGGCATCTGAGTGCCTGACATAATAAGAACAATTTGTTTTAATACTTGTTTCCTTATCTGTAAAACAAGAATAGTAGTGGTATTTTATAGGATTGTTCTGAGGGCAAATAATTTCTATAAACTGCATAGTGGCTCAAATAAATGTAAACTGTGATGATGGTTATGATAGTGCCACAGACACACACTTGTGCGTGTGTATTTCTTAACATCTCTCAAAGTAATTGTTTGGTATAATCCAGCTATCCTTTACCATAAAGGCATTTATAAATCAGTGCTTTATAAATGATCTGAAGGGCACCTGCAACTAATAGGAAAATGCCTTCTTCTCTTACACTTTTTTTTGGTTGAATATGATGAGGGATGTTTTCATTATTCCAAGTATTTTGTGTTGTGTTAAATAAAAGCAGTCATGTTTATGGAAATTGATCTGTAATATGAAATAGAATGAGAATGTGTGCAAAACTGCTGAAACAGGATTCCTAATTTTTTGTGCTTTTAATTTTAATATTATTGCACACAACCTTCACATTATCAAGTTCTTTCTTTTTAGGTACTAAAAGCTCAAGCAAAGTTGACCACTTTTTATGGAGCATTTGGACCAGAAAAATTCAGGTGTTTGCATTTCTCATCTCTAATTTTTAGACTATGAAACAAATTTGTTTGGATATTCATAAAAGAATATCGTACTGATTGAATTCATGTTTCTGGGAACTTGACTGATGAAAAATGATTTTCCTAAATGTGCCTAAACTTTGGGCACTTCCTGCATCTATGGAATTGGTACTTGCATAGCAAAAAACTAAAATTCAATATATCAGGGACTAAGTAAATAAATAATAGTAAACCCACTTCAGGGAATATTGTGTAGTCCTTAAAAAGAAAGGTTTACATATGCTTATTTGGTGCAGGCTCTAAAGTAACATAAAATGAGTTTTTTAAGTATATGGGGAGAAAACTCCCATTTGTTGAAAATTAAAGATGGTTTTTGTATATGTAGTGACTATCTCAGAAAGGACCTAGAAATAGAGCATGACTTCTGGGGAAAGCAGTAATTCTACAGGTCTGGGATAAAAAGAAACTTACTTTTCAATATATAATTGTTGAGATTTTTTTACATTTTGAGGGGAAAAAATTAGTTGAAATGCATAACGATATCCAGTTGTGATATAAAACCTGAAAATTTTTTAAATTACTAACTTTTTCTGCTCTTTGCCTTCCCAGTGGTAGTTCTTGGATTGAATTTCTGAATAATGAAGATGATCTGAGGGATATCTTCCTGCAGCTGAGAGAAGGGAACCTGGTTTGTGCACAGTACCTTTGGCTTAGAAATCGGGTAAGACATTCTGCTTTTTTTTTTTTCTCCCTGAATGTCTCCATAGCTCCTGAGAAGGTGATCGGATTAGCGGTGGGACCTAGCAGGGTGGAAATGTGACTGGGTAATGGGAGGTATGTGTTTTATCTCAACAGTGTCTAAACCTAAACTTAGCTCAAATGGCAACATTTTATTAAGTGGTTTATTAATGGGCTTTCCTAGGTGGCTTCCGACTTGGATCATTTGCATAGAGTAAATCACCCTTAGGACTCATTAAATGAGAAAATCCTTTCTTGAAATGACATTCTAACAGGTCTTGTCCCTTCTGGGGGATTGTCAGCTTGAATTTGTTGGATGAATCTTGATTTCCCTCTCTGTGTAATCTAGGCAAACTTTGAAAGCCGATTTGATGTGAAAATGCTTGAGCACTTGCTCAACTCAATTTCTACACCAGTCTCTTTGCAAAAGCTTTGTCCCTGGCTTAAAAATGATGTGATCCCATTTGTGAGAAGGACTATACCTGAAGGACAGGTAAGACACCTTCACTATTTCCTCTCTCAGTGATTCGGTTTGATTGTCTGCTTTGTCTCAGTGAAGATGAAGTCACATTAACGTTAGTTAGTTCATTGTCATGATCTTTTGAAAGATTATCATAGAGGTTTTAAATCGCTTAGGTGATTTAAATCACTATGGATTATCTTATTTTCACATGATTTATCTATTTCAGAAAATTCTTGCAAAATGGTTGGAGCAGGCAGCCAGGAACCTTGAATTAACTGATAAGGTAATAACAGTGTGATTAGCACTGAAAAGCTATCTTGAAAATTCCCAAGGGCATAAAACATTACTTTTAATGGATTCTATTATTTCTTTAAAGGCAAACTGGCCAGAAAATGGGCTTCAGTTGACAGAGATATTTTTTACAGCAGAAAAACCAAATGAGTTGGGATTGGCATCCTCTTGGCACTGGATTTCCTTGGTATGATATGCAAAATGAATTTTTAGTAGTGAAACTTCTGTTACCACTTCAACTTGTTACAATGCACTGCTTGTCTCTATCACCTATCCAAAGGAAAACAGCCTATCAGCATACTCCTAAATAGCATCAGTGGGATTTTCTGCACTAGCAGCACGGCCCTGGGATTGGTTCTCAAAGGCATATCAATCAAGTTTTTTTCTTTTTTTATTTTCCTGTAAGTTCCTGTTTGTTTGTTTTTTCAACTGAGGTAAAATTGGTTTATAATCCTGAATTTGGTTACATGACTCAGGGGAATAGGTCACACCTCTGCAGATGCATGTGACCTAACCCACAAAGGCCCCATCACCCTTCACCCTAGACCATCATTAGCAACTGCAACCCTTGCTTTTGTTTTAGAAGGATTATCAAAACACAGAGGAAGTTTGTCAGTTACGGACTTTGGTGAATAACATGCGGGAGTTGATCACCTTGCACAGGAAATACAACTGCAAACTGGCTCTCTCTGATTTTGAGAAGGTAAAAGTCGAGATTTCTTAGAAATTTTTTTTTTTTAATTTAAAGATTTATTTATTTATTTATACAAGCCCTGGGTACAGTCAGAAGCACGGGAGGGTGAGAGAATCCATCAGAGCTAGAGCAGGGAACAGAACAGGCAGACTGATGAAGTACACTGTTGAGGGGAGCAGCGGGCGCGGCAAGAGAGGTCTGCAGAAGAGACATGAGGGACCCTCGCCGGTGGCCCGGGATCGAACCGACGCTGTAGAGGCTGCGGGCAGCTTCGCAGCCCAGTCTTCAACTGCTGCACCACCGGGGAAGCCCAGACCTTTTTTTTTTTTTTCAATCACGGCCATGTGGCTCAAAGTTGCCTTTGTGCCTTTTCTTTTCGGCATCCAGGAGAACACGACCACCATTGTGTTCCGAATGTTTGATAAAGTGCTGGCCCCAGAGCTCATCCCTTCTGTCCTGGAGAAGTTTATAAGAGTTTACATGAGGGAACATGACTTGCAAGAGGAAGAACTTCTCTTACTGTACATAGAGGTGACGTGTTTTCTAGACCAAGTCTTTTCTTGTTTCTCTTCAGTGTGTTGTATTAAGTGTACGTCTTTGTGGAATACCATGCTTTGCCATTAGGACTTATGGGGCATATGGTATTGGTGGAGAATGCTGGTTAGCACTGCTGGTAATTGACTGGCAACCCTGAGCAAAATGGGGTAATAATTAGGATTTTGTCCAAACTGTTATTGTGAGATAGGAGGAGCATGAACTCAGTGCATAGTAGCAGTTCTTTCCTTGCCAACTTGAATAAACTGTGATCGTCTTATTCGCAAACTCTCCAAGAATGTTTCCTTTTTAAGTTTTCTGTACCACATGAGACAGAAGACCAAATTTTGGCAATTTTGCAGTTTTTGACTGCTGTTCAACTGTCACCGCTAAGTAGGAGTTTTTGTTTATTTTACCCACCCAGAAGAGCTGTTTGTTGGTGTCTGTTTGTGTGTTTACTTTGTTTTCGTGAGAGTTTCAGTTTCAAAAAGTGACTGTGCCTCCTTAGGATTTGCTGAAGAGATGTAGCTCCAAGTCCACGTCGCTCTTTGAGACAGCGTGGGAAGCGAAGGCCATGGCGGTCATTGGGTGTTTGTCAGACACAGATGTGAGTGCAGAGTAACCAAGTGTGGAGTGACTGCTGCCCTCTGCTTTTCTTAAAGCCTTTTTTCTGATCACTATACATAGTTTATTTGTTAAGGAGAATCTGTATAATGTGAAAAAGGAAGAAAAAGAAAGAAAAACCCTAATTTGTTAATTATGAAAATAAAAAATCTCACTTGCGCTCCTAAAAAGACCACCACAGACATTCGGGTGCCTATATTTCCAGTCTTTTCTATAGCTCGACAAGCCCTGAAACATTTAAAAACATTTATTATGACCACACTGTTATTAGCTACCATTTTAAAATGTGAATAAAATCATGAAATATGTTTTCAAACACAGAGACAGTGGAACTAGAGCTATATGACTTAGCTTTCAGCAGAGGAAATACTTTTCTAAATTTTGTTAAATGGTAAAATGACTCTTTTTGGGAAAAGAGGGGTGAAGGATAGCATTGGACTTTTAGTGGTGAACTTACTGATATTTGTGAGAATTACAAGGAATAGCTGCTTCTGCAGATAGAAGAAAATATTCCCAAGCTACCAGGTTAGGTGTGAGATCTCTGGTGTAGACGAGGCGGTGTTGTGCATTCCCATGAAGCGTGACTCTGAGGGCCGTTCGTGGTGACTGTGTGTCATTGCAGCTCATATTCGATGCTGTGCTGAAGATCATGTACGCAGCTGTGGTGCCCTGGAGTGCGGCTGTGGAGCAGCTGGTGAAGCAGCACTTAGAAATGGACCATCCCAAGTAAGAGTGCTCTCTGGCAAGGGTGATGATGGTTTAAGGGATTCCCTGGTGCTCTAGCGGTTGAGTCTTCAAGCTAATACCACTGAGGCCTGGGTTTAGTCCACGGCCAGGGAGCTGACCCTCATGGTGCAGCAGACCTCTCCTGTCTCCCTGCTGCTCCCCTCAGCAGTGGATTTCAGTAGATCTGTCTGTTCTGCTCCCCACTCTGTCTCTGGTAAATCCTCTCACCCCCCCTCAACACCTCTGGCCTATACCCCAGTTCTCTACACAAAAAGAAAACATTGATGGTTTTATAGCCTTCACCCTGCCCCTTAGTATTTTATAAAAAGACAATCTATGTTGGGCCTCCCTGGTGGCGCAGCGGTTGAGCACTGGGTTGCAAAGCTGCCCACGGCCTCTGCAGTACCGGTTCGATCCCCGGCTGCTCCCCAGCCACCGGAGGAGGATCCCACATGGCGCACAGACCTCTCCTGCCGCCCGCTGCTCCCCTCAGCAGTGTACTTCGGTCCTTCTGCCTGCTCTGCTCCCTGCTCTGGCTCTGGTGAATTCTCTCACCCTCCCGCGCTTCTGACTGTACCCAGTGCATGTATAAATAAAACAAACAAACAAATAAAATAAATAAATAAAACATGCCTCTAAAAAAAAAAAAAATCTTAAAAAAAAAAAGACAATCTATGTTAATAATAATAACTTTATTTTCAGAGTCAAATTATTGCAGGAAAGTTACAAACTAATGGAGATGAAAAAACTTTTACGCGGCTATGGAATAAGGGAGGTGAATCTCTTAAACAAGGATATAATGGTGAGGACACCACTTGTGCTCTGTAAACCCTCTGTTCCTTCTCTGAGGCAACATGGGAATTTCCATGAGGACTTTATGTGCTTAAAGGTTAATGGAGCTAGTGTCTCTGTTATTCTACCTCAGAATGTAAGTAGGGTCACTGGTTGTTTAGAGCAATAAGGATAAAAAATTGTGGACTCAGAAGCCAAAGAAGTATATCAAATCATGTTGCGTACCTTAAATATCTGTATTTGTTATTTGTTACACCTTAATAAAATGAGGGGGAGAGATTTGGATAGGATGGTCGAAATTTTGAAACATAAATCATGTTTTCATTTTCATACAGCTTATAGTTTTTTTCTGCATTATTTTAATGAGTACTTTGCCCTTATGAACATGATTTCTGGGTTCTTTGAGAATCATAACAGAAATGTATATACACATATTTTTGCTTCTGTTTCAGAGGGTGGTCCGCTACATTCTCAAACAAGACATCCCATCTTCGTTGGAAGACGCTTTAAAGGTGGCCCAGGCCTATATGTTGCCTGATGATGAAATCTACAGTCTGAGGATGATTGACCTGATGGACAGAGAGCAGGTATGGAAGCTTTATACTTTCCTTTCTCATGGCTTCTGTGTTAATTAAAGTCCGAAGAACTTAAAACAATCAAATTATTCAAATAGATCAGCCAAAAAGTAAAGTTATACCAAGATGAAAACATCAGGTGTTAGACTGGCCATGGGTTTTTCTGACAGTATCTTGTGAAGCTCACACACTTTTGTGCTCTGGCAATTAACAAACTCAGGCTTATGTTTTGTAAATACAGTAGGACCCTTTGATTCCAGAATGGTTAGTGGTTTTCTTTTGATGTTTCTTAAGTGTCTTTATTTTATGTATTACTGTAACCATAGGCATGCTTAGGAAATCAGCCTCTCTTTTGCACAAAGGGTGGTATTTTTATTATATTTTTTCAGCTTGCCATCATTAAAACCCAATTTTCACATTTTTAAAATGTACCATTTTCCTTTTCTTTTTTTCCTATTTATTTTCAGAATGATCTTTCTGATCTTCTTAGGTAGAAAAGAAACTGTCCTTGCAGGCGCCAGCTGCACTTTCTTCCTTTCTAATCCTGTAGGGTGAAGACTGTATATCTCTATTGAGGTCTCTGCCTCCTGCCCAGGCTGAGAAAACTGCAGAAAGAGTCATCATCTGGGCACGACTGGCATTACAAGAAGAACCAGATAATTCTGAAGAGGTGAGATTTTCACTGAATAAATGTCGACAGATCTAATTTTTATGGATATTCATCAATAGGACAGAAAAGATGGGCACTGCTAGAATGTCCTCGTGTAAAAACTCCTGTGTAAATTTGCTACATAGGAAAAAACAAATACAGCTGCTTTGGAGCAGTGGCTGTGTCTGCCCTGAATAACTCAAGATCTGCAAATCGGAAGGACTAATTGGACTTGCTGCCCAGAAAGGATTTTCAATACTCCCTTGCTGTATAAGCATGTTTCACATGGCATAGGACATCGTCATTACTACCAGGCAGTCAGCCCCAGAACCAAGTAAATCTAAAGGAGTTAGAGCCTTGAAACTGAGAAGTGGTTTCCAGAGAGCCGACTTTTTTTTAATGTTTATTTTATTTTATTTATTTATGCATATAAGAACTGGGGTGCAGGCCAGAGGTGCGTGGGGTCGGGGTATGAGGATTCATCAGAGACAGAGTGTGGAGCAGAATGGGCAGATTGGCTGAAATACACTGCTGAGGGGAGCAGTGGGGAGACAGGAGAGGTCTGCTGCACCATGTGGGTCAGCTCCCTGGCTCAGGATTGAATTTAGGCCACAGTGGCTGGCAATAGCTTGATAGCGCTGAGACTTAACCCCTGTGCTACCAAAGAGGCCCCAACTCACTTCTTTGTAGAGATGAGCCACACCTAAATTATTCAGGACAGTTGAGTTTTTTTTAATTCTTTCAGGTATCCCCTCACTTTTCTCAGTGGTTCAATTTGGTCATTTTTTTAACCTCTAGAGAAATGAGGTTTTTCTCCAACTTCTAACACTATGTTTTTATTGTTATGTGGTAGGTATTAGGTTAAATACTCTAAATGGACTATGTACTATTAGATCCTTATAGATTAAGTTCAGAAACTAAAATCTGAAGGTAAGTGACTTTCCCAAGGTTCTCAGAAAGGAGCAGAATCTCAGCTCTAATCAGCGGGGCAGCAGAGTCTGTTTCCACCACCAGCGTGAACTGCATCCCATGTGCAAACGTTTGAGAGCTTTGTACGGTCCTGATCCTGACAAGGATTTTATACACCTCCTGTCTTTTAATGACAGCCTTTCCGTCTTTGGTTTTTCTTCTCTCTTTTTTAAATCTTTATTTGTCTTGGAGATAAATAATGGTGGTTTCAAAGACTTCTATTCTCTAGACTCAACAAGTTCAGTTCTTTTTGACTTTTCCAGAGAACTTCCAAAATGTTTTTTGTTTTTTAAGATTTATTTATGCATACAAGAACCGGGGTATAGGCCAGAGGTGCAGGGGGGTGAGAGGATTCACTAGAGACAGAGTGGGGAACAGAACAGGTAGATTAACTGAAATACCCTGTTGAGGGGAGCAGGGGGCGAGAGACAGGAGAGGTTCTGTTGTGCCATGTGGGTAGCTCCCTGGCCGGGGGATCGAACTCGTGCTGCAGAGGCTGTGGATGAGTTCATAGGTTGTATTCTTAATCGCTTGAGCCACCAGGGAGGCCCCCCCAAAATGTTTTCTCAAATAATAAATACAACTGTTAAAAAAAAACAACAAAAAGAAGTTACCCAAGTGCCTGTTGATTATAGTGTAGCTTGAAGGACATTTGGGAGATTTGCCTATTCTGTCCTTGTCCTAAGTCACACATCTAAGAGTCCATCCTGGCGTTTTTCATGTTCAGCTTATATATTTTTTTCAATTATGAGCCACTTCTCAGCTGTCCAACCCTCTCTAACATGGACCTTTCATTTTGCAGCCATTTTTATTATTTTTTTTTTCTGATTCTCTGGATTTTCTGTGTGTGTGCTTCCACGGAAATGGCGAATGAAGAGTCGGTTTCATTTTGTACTTTTTAGGACAAGGCCTGGAGGATGTCTGTAGCAAAGACAGCGGTGGACATTCTTAAAATGCTGTGTGACAGCCAAAAAGGTAGGTTCTGCCTGTTTCCTCTTCTCAGGTACGAAGTAAATCTTTTCAGAAGGGGCGTCAGTGATTGTCTATCCTCGCCCACGGCTTTTGTGGCTCCGATGGTCCTTATTCATTTCACCTGTTTTCTAGCAGGAAAAGTCTTCCCTGCAGGTAGGAAGGGCTTCCCTTATCATTTTGATCCCCAGTATAAGAACAGAAGCCTCTAAAGATAGCCTATCCCTTGTTGGTATGCTCTGGAAGCTGTTTAATGTGGGCTAGCTCCCTCCGGGTACCTTGCATTTATGACTCAAATTTCACCTCTCATTTGGTCACTTCTCATTTCTGAGTGACCTGTGGAAAAAGCTCATTTAACTTGAACTTAAACAATCAACAAGGTAACTCTCTTGGAAAAAGAAAAGCCACACTTTATTTCAGAAAATTTGCCATTTCTCTTGTATCCCAAACACGTCTCTTTTTTACCCACAGAAAAAATAATCAGATTTCATTTTGTGTTAAAATTGTCTTATATCAGCAACTGAAAAGAACTAGTGGAAACTTCAGAAAACCAAAACTAATTAAAATCTTGGCTTTTAGGAATTCTGTGTATCTGGGAATTTGATGTCTGACGTAACTTTTAAAAATTCACTTATAGACAATCTGCAGAAGAAGGATGAATGTGAAGACAACTTAAAACTGCTTAAAACGATTGCTAGCCTACAGGTAAAGATGTTCAGCTGCAGTGGCCGTAATCTCTTGGCTACGTGCACTTGACATAGTGATCAGTCCCTCCTTAAAATTTTCTGTGCTAGCCTTGGAGTGCTTTAGGCTGGCTGCTTGAAGGCTGGTGTTCCTTCTCTGTCTCTCTTTTAAAACAACTCTTGAGATGAAATTCACACGCCATATATTTCATCCATTTAAAGTGTGTAATTCAGTGGCTGTTGGTGTACTGCATTACTATTTTAAATGGTGGCAAAATATACGCTCCGTGAAATTTGCTGTTACCTGTTTTTCAGTGTGTAATTCAGCAGCGTTCATTATAATTGCAGTTTCACGCAGCCATCCCCATCACCCTGCTTTCCATCACCTCAAGTGGGTTAAAGTGATGGGTTTTTCATTTTCCTGTCTGTTCTAAGAAAACTTCTTCCAACTCTGAGAGTTCAACACTTAGTTGAAAGACTTAATGCGCAGTTACTTTTCTCCAGAAGGTAACTGACATCATCAGAGATTTCACTTCTGCCTTTTACCATTACCTTGTGTTCACAGTGCTTGTCAAGAGCGTTTTTGGTTCTATTTTTTGTTTTTGGTTCTTTCTTAGTTCTATTTTCCAGCCTTTTCATAGTGGGTCTTTGAGGGAGAGGTAGGGGCAGTTTAAGACACACATGGATGATTCTTCCAACGCCCTTGCTCCTCTGTCCCGTTGCCTTGTGCAGGAGAACTTTGAGGTCTTCCTGGCATTTGGAGACTACAGCAGCAGCTCCCTGGTGGCCGAGCTCCGAGAACGGCACATAAAAGCTCACCAGGTGGTGCGGGCTGAACACAAACCCAGCAGCACCTCCGAGCCCGGGGCCATGGCAGGGAGTGGCCCGAGCGCCTGGGCAAAGCTGCACAGACAGGCGCTGGCCCTGCAGGTGTCCACACCCGAGCTGGAGGCCGAGCTGGCCTGGAAGGCCTTGAAGGATGGGAATGTCAAAACGGTGCTGGAAAAATGCAGGTGACCTTGCAGACTCTGCCTCATAGCTCGTCCGTCCAAAAGTAACCTTAACTTCCTTTACTCCCGCGGTGATGAGGGGAGGGTCCTGGACACTTGCGTTGTCATGAAAGTGCTTCTGCACGTATGGGCCAGAAAGCGACAGACAGGAGGCAAGTAGTGACCAGGGTGCTGTGGGCAGCAGAACCACTGACATGGCCATGCCGTGCACCCTGGCCTGCATGGTGTCCAGTGAGTCCAAAAAGTGCACTGTATACAGGAAGCGAGAACATTCTAGAAGCATTTTAAATACTGATAGGGATTTGATTTAAGTCCAAGAAAGGCGGCTGCACCTGCTTTTGTTCCGGGTGTTCTGACTTCTGGCGCTTTCCTCCCTGCAGGGGCCTGTTTCAGTATCACCGCGTCGCCAACACCGGGAGGTGGCTGTTCCTGACGTGTCAGAAACTGTGTCACATGTTGGCCAACGACATCCCGATGGTGACCCCAGTGGGACTGAATCTCCCTTCCGAGATCCATGACCTGGCATGCCAGGCCGCCACCATCTGCAGTCCAGGTGCGGGTCCCCTGGGCACGGCTTCGTGTGCACGCCTCATCGCAGGCTTCTCCCAAATGCCTGTCTGTGATGGCAGGACACGGCAGTGACTGGAGGCATCACCTCAGGCTTACAAAGGGACCGTTGTCACACGTTCTCAGTGGGGATTATTGTTCGGCAGTGTTTCTGAAACCGCCAGTGTCATTTCTGACGGTGGATGATTTTTCAGGGGACTGTGAATTTGTGATGCCATGACCCATCTCACTTTCTAGCCAGTTGCTGGTGGAGAATCGAGTCGTGCTGTGTAGGGCAGTTAAAGCTACGAGCCTTTCTCTGTGGTCTTCCTTAGAATTGTTAACAATAATTAAAAGGTTTTTTTATTAATCGAAAACAGTGTTAGTTCAGTTTTTCCTTTTTCCTTCAGATATGTTACTTGATGCTCTAGAACTGTGTAAATACACCTTGACGGCTGTCCAGCTTTCCCAGCAGTGCCAGATGGATGACTGTGGCATTCTGATGAAAGTAAGTTGCCCTCGAATTTCTTTTCCTTAAACAACCCAACCCCCCAGCCCCAAATCCATTATGCTTCATATCTCCTGCATAACTTACAAAACACCAACTCCACCCCTTGTGCTTTCTTATGCTAGAAAGCAGCTTAAGGGCCCAAGTCCATTTCTCTTTCCCAGTCATGTTATTGGCATTATTGGCTTCAGTTTACACCATCTTTTGTAACACTGGGCCTCAAACAAGGCCTTTCCTGATGTTGTCATCACCCCAGAGTAGCAGTTTCATTTATGTATTTATATATATTTTTTAAAGATTTATTTATTTATTTATACAAGAACCGGGGTATAGGCCGAGGCACAGGAGGGTGAGAGACTTCACCAGAGACAGAGCGGGAAGCAGAACAGGCAGACAACTAAAAACACTGCTGAGGGGAGCAGCAGGCGAGACAGGAGAGGTCTGTCACACCATGTGGGTATCTCCCTGGCTGACTGGGAATCGAACCTGCACCGCAGAGGCTGCAGACAGCTCCATAGCACTGCGCTCAACCCGCTGTGCCACCGGGGAGGCCCTGTATTTATTTTTTTTAAAAGACTTTTATTTGTTTTTGTGTAGAACTAGGGTGTAGGGGCGTGAGAGTATTCATCGGAGGCAGTGTGGGGAGCAGAACAAGGGGATTTACTGAAATCCACTGCTGAGGGAAGCAGCAGGGAGACAGGAAAGGTCTGCTGCGCCATGTGGGTCTGCTCCCTGGCCAGGGATCAAACACAGGCCTTCGAGGTAGTAGTGCTGAGACTTAACTCCTAGGCCACCCGGGAGCCCCCCTAGCAATTTCATTTAAACTGGCCCGGCGACAAGCCATTGACCGGAAGAAACAGACTACACAGCTGTATGTCACCATACAGACTGTGTTTGGCTCTAGTACATTGGCTCTTGCCCCAAGCTGCTGATCTGTGTGCCTTGGAGTGCCCTCATTTGTCTCTTCTCTGCATGGCTTGGTATTTAGACTGCGTTGGGAACTCAGAAAGACCCCTATGAGGAGTGGTCCTACAATGACTTCTTCAGCGAGGATGGGATCGTTCTCGAGTCCCACGTGGTGCTGCCTGTCATTTATGAATTGATTTCATCACTCACGCCTGCAGCTGGTAACTCTCATCTGTATCGTAATTTGTCTTTTACAAGTTTAAGCGCCAGAGGTTTGGAACTTGCAATACACACAGTGATGTGGAAGAATCCCACAGGCATAAGGTTGACCAAAAATGCAGACATAAAGCAGGCCTCATGTAGGGTTCAGTGCCAGAAGGCATAAGGACAGGGGAGAATGAATGAAGCCGTGGTGAAAGTCGGGGTGCTGGGTAACGACTTGGGGTGGGTGATGACTGCAGGAGGATATGAGGGGACTCCAGGGATGCTGCTAATGTTCGGTTTTCTGATTAGGATGCCATTGCACGGATGTGTTCCATTTACAGAGCTGGATCAAGTTGCACATTTAACTGTGTTCTGTATTTGACCTTTCAGTAGCACTTTGCTTTAGAATATTAATAATAGCACAAAATTTAAATATCTCCAGGAACATGCATCTGAGAAAATTTATTTTACTTTGTATTATTTATTTATTTATTCTCAACTGCAGAAGGCAAGCGACATCCCCTGAATTCCACAAGTTTGCCATACTGCTCCATCAGTGAAGGTATTTGACAACGGAAATGTAAAGCATTGTGTTAAGATTTTGTAAATTCCTAAGTGTGAATATGAATCCTGAACATCAGCCTAACTTAAAGTCCAAGTGTACTTACTGCTTATTACTATTACATTGTTATCTTCCAGAGGGTCAGGAAATTATGTCCTTTCTCTTACAACCTTAAGGTTTGTGAATCTGTCCTTAAGCTTTGGTCTTCCAAAGGGAGAGATGATCTTCCTCAACAAATGGTGGAAGCATCTCAGTAAGAATAGACAAGTTACCATCCAAATGACTCATTATCTACTCGACTTAAGTTATGATCTGATGTAATTCAAGCCTCAGGTGAATGCTCTCATTTGCTAACTTTAAGTCCAAATGCTATGACCGTTCTTTGAAGTAGTAGGCTGTCCTTAAAAAGTTTCCAATAAGATCTTTCTTTAAGAAATCTGAGCACTAATTGATACATTTTTATCATCTTATAGGAGACAACCTTATCTTACCTATTATAAGTTCCATCTCCGCCCTGCTTCAGAACCTTCAGGAATCCAGCCAGTGGGAGCTGGCCCTGGGATTTTTAGTGTGCTCTTTTGGTATCTGTCTGCAGCACTCGGTGTCAAACTTCATGAATGCCAGTTTGAGTGAAAAGGTAAAGTTTCGAGGAAAAATGCTTTCATTCTAGGTGAAGAGAGACACACAAAGGCATTGCCAAACAGAGAAATTAGAGCCCACAGTTTCCTACTTGCAAATTGCTAGCAAGGAAATCAGTCTTGTGTCCAATTTAAGAAACATCTGTTGAGCCTCTACTGAGATTCAGGTGTAGTTCAAGGTGCTTGGCCATGTTTTCACGCCCGATCTTTACAACAACCCCGAATCTCCATTTCTCAAGTGAGGATAATGATTCAGGGAGTGCATTAAGTCACTTGCAGTTTTCTGTTGTGAGTTCCCCCCAGTCCACCCTGGGTGACCACACTGGGTCACAACTCTGTCTACTGTCTGATACCTGACAGTATCCTTGAGAGGATTCTAGAATACAACCTGCCTGTTGATGACTGTCTTATGAAACTGGTCTCAGAGGCATTATGTTCATTTCTACTACTCTATTAATATTTATTGAATGCCTGAACATTTTATTTAGTCAACTTTATTAAAAGGATAGCTTTCAAAAATAAAATGCGCATATTTTAAGTGTGTCAACCAATATATTCAGTGCCCATCAGCACCACAATCAAGACTTAAGGTTCTTTTTGCCTTTTCCCTGTCAATTCTCCCTCAGCCCCAGCTTCTTGTCCTTGCAGATTGGTAGATTGGACTTTTTGCATATATTGATGACTTCTCAAAGTTTCTTGAGCTTTAAGAAGAGTTTTCAGACTGATACCTAGAAATACCTAAAGATTCTTTTTTGTTCTTTTCTAAAAGTTGTTTGGAGAGGCCACCTTGATCACTTCAAGGCATGTTGTGATGGACTTGAAAGAAAAGGCCGTCACATTTATCAGGGGAAACGCTACGAGACTGCTGCACAAGGTGAGTGCGTTCTTGACACCTGCTCTTTTGTGTTTTGCTTTTGTCTCAGTCAGCAGTGCATGTGCTTTAGTCCCATAGCATTCCATTCAAAACTTCAAAACCTTCATTGCTCATTGTTGCTGGCGGGTTTTTTAACTATAATCGTTGATAATCCGTTGACCACTTATGAAATGATAGCCAATTTTTCCCACGTCTGTCCCCATTTTAGCTTCTCATTTGAAGGATAAAAGCCTTCCAATGAGCCTAGCATACGCACCCATGAGATAGATACGCGTGGAAACATAAATGTGTGTTCTGTTTCGCAGCCATCTCTTAGTCTCCTTTAATCTGCAAGTCTTTCCTCTTCAGGTTACGGAGTGAGGACAGGGTCTGACAGTAACAACGATCATTTCTTGTTGCGTTTCCTGAATCTTTTCCCTGTGACTTCATGGGAAATACTTATTCAGCAAGCTTATTTTCTAGAATTTCTGTTTTGTGCATTTTCAGTGCCTAGCAGGTCTGACTTTGCGACATCACATTTTGCCTTCTGATGCTCATTCATGATGAAGTGAAACTGTCCTTACTAATGAATCTTGTGCCAAACAAGATCATGGTTCTATTTTTAGTCTGTTTTGAGTTAATTTTTAAGTGTTGTCAGATAAGGAAGAGTCCAATGTCATTTTTTGTGGCATGTGGATATCTAGTTTTCTCATCGCTATTGGTTGAAGAGACTTAGCTACCCATTAAGTGATCTTGGTGCCATTGTTGACCATCATTTGATCATATATGTATTATCCCTGGGTGCTCTATTCAATTCTATTGGCCTATTTGTCTCTATGCCGCTACTACACTGTTTTGATTATTATAGTTTTTTGTAATGTTTTAAAATCGAAGTGTAGGTGCCTTATCAGCGCAGTAGGTAGTACATTAGTCTCATAAAGTCACTAAGTGTGAGTCATCAACAAATAATTTTTGAGCCTCTTGGACAGGAGATAGTCTTCCACAGTCATTTTCTCTGAAGGGGAACAGAGAAATAGGGTCATAACAGGAGAAATTCCCTTTTCACTTTCAAGAGGTGGGAACTCCTAGGCATTCAACAAAGAGGGAAACATTAATGGTGGTTCTCTGCCTATAGAACTTGTCAGCCACTTTCCTTAAATTTACAACAAAAGCAATAAAGGACATTGAAACTAAGCAGACCAGTTGAAACTGTTACTCCAAGTAACTTCATGGAAAGGCTGGTCCCTGGTGGGTTTGTGATCAAGCTTAGTGACAAGCTGTTAGAGATTTAATTCTGCTCTGTTGGTAAAGAATTGGCCTCTCTCGGTGCTCTCTTCCTACAGGTATTTAACTGCCGCCTGGTGGACCTTGACTTGGCATTGGGTTACTGCACTCTCCTACCCCAAAAAGAAGTGTTCGAAAATCTCTGGAAGCTCATCGATAAAGCTTGGCAGAATTACGACAAAATTTTGGTATGACCCAAGGACACACCTTCCATTGTCAAAGATTTAAAGATTTAGGGAAGAAATGAAGTTGACTCTGCTGCCAGACCTTAAAGGTTTAGCAGAGGAAGTGGCGAGCTCACCCACTCGTGTTCTGCCGGCTCTTCTGTGGCCAGTGACATGCGGGTGAATGTACGTGCAGGTCAACAGCATTCTTCAACCCAAAGAGTCACAGTATTTTTCACTCCTTACGATCCACGCGCAGCCATAGATCCTCCCTCCTTGCACTTAGGCTTGTGTGCTTGACACCTTAGACCTGCCAGCCAGTTCTTTCCTGTAGGGTGTTTATTGAATACAAAACTCTCTGATGTTGTTTGTTTTAAAATACGCCTTTTGTGGGGGTTTTGCTAGCAGGCTAGCTAAGATGTGACCTTTTTTTAAGAAGGAAAGTTGTTCTAAATTTATAGCATCCGAGGAAAAGCAGAATGACCTCTGTTATATGCTGTGACGGTGCACAGAGCAATACGTAACATGCCTACCACTCAGAAAGGGACGGCTCTTGTGCTGGGTTTCATCTAAAAGGTTAGGATATATTCTGCTTGCAATTGAATTTTAATTCTATTTTAATTTTTCAGGCAATATCTCTGGTGGGCGCTCAGCTGGCCAGTCTCTGTCAGGACATAGAAATGGAGCTGAAGTTCCGTGAGCTCAGTACCGATGCTCTGTGGGGTATCCGTCTCGGTAAACTTGGTGTGAGTGTTCTTGGTTTCAGCCAATCTAATGATCACCCAGCTGGAAAATTGAAAACAAAGGTCTCATTGTCCTTTACTTTGGGAGAGTAGATGTCTGTAAACTGACTTAAACATTTGAGTCGTATTAAGTGCACACATTGGCGCTCTCAAATAAGGACCTTTTGCTGTGTTTCCTTTTTTCAAAGATTTATTTTTTTATGAATACAAAAACTGTGGTACAGGCCAGAGGTGCAAGGGGTGAGAAGATTCACCAGAGACAGAGTAGGGAGCAGAACAGGCAGATCTACTAATATACACTGTTGAGGGGAGCCTCGGGGAGACAGGAGAGGTCGCAGGGATTGAACTCATTCTGCAGTGGCTGCTGATAGCTTTATAGTGCTGCGACTTAACCCCTTGCGCCACCAGGGAGGCTCCTTTTTTCTGTATTTTTAAGGAAATCGAAGGAGGTTTGACATTTTCATCTGCTTAGCTTTTTCAGTTGTAGGAATATATCAAGTATTTATTGACATCTATACTATTTTAGGCCTAACTTTTTTCTTAGCCTCATATTTTTGTTTTGTTCTACTATATTTGGTTAAATATCAATGTTAAAATGGACATCCAGCTGCACCAAGCTTTAAGAACTACTAGAAAAGAGTGAGTGGTCCTCATTTTTCACTTCGCAAAAACAAACACAGACACTCCTGTATTCTTTGCGAAGAGTTGGCTCATCAGGAATATAATTTTTCAAAAAATGGTGTATGTTTTCTAGCCTCTTCCCTCTGCAGGAACGGGACTGATATTCCCTCGTGCCTAACAACCACGTTTATTGATGAAAAGCCAGGGAGACGTTGGTGTGACTAAGAGCGGTGTTTGGACCCTCAGCCAGATATACCTGGAATCTCAGAACAATTTGAGGAGTGTTATAAAAATTAAAGTTGGAGGGCCTCCCCGGTGGCGCAGCGGTTGAGCGCTGGGTTGCAAAGCTGCCCACAGCCTCTGCAGCGCCGATTCGATCCCCAGCCGCTGGCGAGGGTCCCACATGGCGCGCAGACCTCTCCTGCCGCCTGCTGCTCCCCTCAGCAATGTACTTAGTCAATCTGCCAGCTCTGCTCTCCCCTCTGGCTCTAGTGAATTCTGTCACCCTCCCGTGCTTCTGTCTGTACCCAGTGCTTGTATAAATAAATAAATAAATATTTTTTAAAAAAAAATAAAGTTGGAGGAGCTGGGATACAATATTGAGCTATAAAAAAAAAAAGCCAGGGCCTCCCTGGTGGTACAGGTGGTTGAGCGCTGCACTGTGAAGCTGTCCGCAGCCTCTGCAGCACAGGTTCGATCCTGGCCAGCCAGGGAGATACCCACATGGTGCAGCAGACCTCTCCTGTTTCACCCGCTACTCCCCTCAGCAGTGTATTTCAGTCAAAAAGGTCTGCCTGTTCTGCTCCCAGCTGTCTCTGGTGAATCCTCTCACCTTCCCACACATCTGGCCTGTACTCCGGTTCTTGTATAAATAAACAAATCATTAAAAAAAAAAAAAAAAAGCCAGTACACAGGCCAGTGAAGGAGTCCTCCTGTTATCTTTTGGCTTAGTGGGCTTTTGTGTTTTGCTCTTTTTATTCCTAGATTTCTTTTCAACCAGTTTTCAGACAACATTTTCTCACCAAGAAAAACCTCATTAAAGCTCTTGTGGAGAATGTAGATATGGACACAAGCCTCATTCTAGAATATTGCAAGTAAGTTCCCTAAATTTTTATGGTGTTTCTGCTGCTAGCTGACTGTGAAGAATCCTATCTTGCAAGAACACAGTGTTAGAAGGATAATTGCCTGGGTTCCATAGATGCTGCTGCTTCCTTTTGCTTACCCCCAACGAATAAATCCAAAACAGATTAAACCCTCTGCTTTAATTCTCTGTTTAGTGTTTCCCAAACTTGCCTCATGATAGGCATCACCTGGGCACTAGGTTAAACATAGAGGTTCCTGGGCCCCTCCCTGGTGGTTATACCAGGTCTGGATGGAGACATTGTGTAGAAAGCCTTACTGCAAGCTCCAGCTGATTCTCATGAGCAATTAAACTTCTAAATCAGATCAACTTATAGCCAGGTCATCTTAAAGTAAAAATTAGTGGAAAATACAATTTAGGGAGAATTTTTAAAAGTCGTTAGTGAATTAAAACAATTAGGGCTGAGTGTGCTACTTACAGGTACAGTTTACCGTGATGTGGAGGAATAAATGATTTTCGATGTCTATCTCAGATGTTTCTAGTAAATAGGATAACCGGTTTGCTGACACATTGTGAATTTCAAAGTGCCTTCACGCACATCATTTTACTCTTATAATTTCTGTCCATACTATCACCAATATGTGCATGAGGAAACAACCCATGTGTTTGACCTGCTCCAGGTCCAACAGGAAGTGACCACTTCCAAAATACTAAGGGTATGAGGGCCTCAGCCAACTGGTGACAGGTCAGTGAAATAGAAGTCACTGATAATGAAGCTTCTTGGCTTGTTTCAGGGACCAGAGGTGGCCCTCTAGAGGAGAATCGGGTGTAGGCCAGAGGGACGGAGTGAAAGAATTCACCAGAGACAGCTTGGGGAGCAGAACAGGTAGATTTATTAAAATACACTGCTAAGGAGAACAGTGGGCGAGACAGGAGGGTCTGCTGGACAGAGGCTTTATTTATACTCCAGGCATCACTGATCAGTTGGGGTGACTACTGTTGGGCATGTCCTGACTGATGATGTGAATTAGCATGAAGGAGCTCCAGCTCTTCGGGTCATCAGCTTAATGTCCAGGTGCCTAGGGCAGTCCCATCTACTCCCTTACCCATTCAGGCCTCCCAGACTTTCCTGCTGGGCAGGAAATGGGGAATTAGTTTTTAAATTTAGTGATGAGGGCCTCCCCGATGGCGCAGCGGTTGAGCGCTGGGTTGCGAAGCTGCCCGCAGCCTCTGCGGCGCTGGTTCGATCCCCGGCTGCTCCCCGGCCATCGGAGGAGGGTCCCACATGGCGCGCAGACCTCTCCTGCCGCCCGCTGCTCCCCTCAGCAGTGTACTTTGGTCCTTCTGCCTGCTCTGCTCCCTGCTCTGGTGAATTCTCTCACCCTCCCGCGCTTCTGCCTGTACCCAGTGCTTGTTTAAATAAATAAATAAATAAAATAACTCTTTGCCAAAAAAAAAAAAATAATAAATTTAGTGATGACACCCAGACACTGACCATTATGCAATAACAAAAATAGGTCCTTCACATGGGGCTGCTGCAGACCCTAAGTGGGCGCTGACGCTGTCTCTTTGATCTCCGTGCAGGTGTTTGTTGTTTTAGTGCTACTGGCCCCTTTTCTGAGCTGCAGATAGCCAGGCTGTAGTCCTGGGGTCCCGGCTGTGTTCCCAGGGGGGTGTCATCCTTGCCTCAAGGTGCCCATTGGAATAATTTTAGATGACCTTTAGGTTTACAGTGAATGATTTTAATATTTAATGACTGACATGTCAGTCACTTTATAGTAAATCACACCATCACTATCTTAATAGAAAAGTGGAAAGGCATTTCCATTATCAGTGGGTCTCTACTAGCCTGATTTTTAATTGTAAAATATCATTTTTGCTGATCCAGGTAGAACATATTAAAACCCACATGCTCCCCACCCCTTTTAGGGAGTAATCCCTGTTGAAAGAGTTTGATCTACATTGTTCATGGTTTTTCCCTGCATGTATACTGACATGTGTTTTGTTTTTTATGACATCATTTTAGTCCCCATAGTTGTCCCGTCGCCTTATCACCCACGACCATCACATGTTCCCTTGTGTTCTTCCCGCCCCTGTTTTGACCCTTCTCCCCCCACCCTGTCTTTGCTGTATGCCTCAGTTCTATGGTCGTGATGTGTTGGTTTTTTTTAATTTATCAAAATGCCATCATATTTCACACCCCATTTGGGCGCTTACATCATGCATTTCCTAATGCTCCCTCTGAGATGAGCGCCCTTGACCCCCCCATTTCCTGCCTGGTGTTCCTCTGTATGGATGAGCTATTCCCCAGTTCCTGCAGAGGAGGGTGGCATCACTGGCCATCCAGCTGTCCCCGGCAGTGACTGCAAACGCTGCCTCATGTGTGTCCTGGCTGCTGTGTGAAAGGTGTGAACATGGAAGTGCTCTACTGAAGGGCATAAAGTTTTCCAGTTTATTACAAACCACCCCAGCCTCGAGCCCACTAGGAACATTTGCTGTCTCAAAGCAGTCGTCTGCTGACGGTAGATGATGGAGGGAGAGACAGCGCAGTGGGAGGATGAGATGCAGCAATGGAGCAGGACCAAGTCTGTGTGGTTGCCCCTGTGGATGCCAGCCTGACCTTGCACACCCCTTTTTAGCACCTTTCAGCAGGACTGTGACGCGGCTCTCCAGCTGTTCATCGAGACGCTGCTTCGCAACTCAAATGCCAGCCAGGGCCAGGGAGACGCCAGCAGGGAAGCCACAGAGCAGCAGCACCCCAAACTCCTGGCCAAAGCGGTGGAGATGGTGCCTTTGCTGACGAGCACGAAAGATCTGGTCATCAGCCTGAGTGGGATCCTGTGTAAGGTAGGCGTGGTGGGATGCACCTGTTGGTCACGTCTCCCTCTTGCCCTTGGTAGTAGTGACATATTGAGAATGTAAGGCCCGCACTGCTCGTACATTTTTAATTTTGAAGTAATTTTCTCTGTCCATACTTACCTTTTTCTAAAAAATAGAAATAGCCCCGTTTTCCTCAGATATTTGAGACACGCACACTTGCTTTGGAGAAGGTCAAACTAGAGAGAAAAGTGTAAATTGGAGTGAAATTTTCTTATCACCCCACTCCCCATACATAAAAATGTCAGCAGTTTGGTGACTGTCCAGACAACCATGCTATCCTGTTGTCCTCGCTTTTCACTTCCATTGTCATCACACGTAAGTGCATACGCATCTGTCTCAGGTGTGACGTGCATATTTATGATTCCATTAAATAGATGGACTCGACTATGCATCATCCGGCCTTTTTAGATGGGCACTTATTTTGTTAATTTTCTTATAAATCATTACAATGAATATCTCCATACATACATATCTGTCCTCTTGTCTGATTATATTTTTTGGGAGACCTGAGAACTACAACCTTTAAGGGTGGTGTGGTAGGGAATTAGGTGGGTGGGAGGAGAAATAAAATGATCAGACCCACCAGAGCCACCAGAGACACACTTCCAGGGGTTGGGGGTAGGTGGGGAGAGGAAGGATTAGGGTCAAAATAAGGGGGGTGCAATTGTATGGGGAATATAACCAAAATGAAAATGCATACATTGTGCAAAAATGAAAAATGATGTAAGAATTATATAAAATAAAATATTGAAAAAAAATCAGATCCCAAGAAATACTCCATTTTATATCCTGTATATAATTCTATAAAAAATTCTAACTTGCTCAAGATTTCTAGGAGCCATAGAGATCACCTTCAATCATTCTTTTTCTTAGCTTTATTCTTGTGAACTTTAGTTGGCATTTTAAAAAATGGGGGGAAAGTAATGATGTGTAGAAAGAAACAAAGACCAAAGAGAATACTTAGTTTCTTTTTAAGCATGTCTAGATGTCACACTATTAATCCTCACATGTTACTATATGGTTAGGGCTGGAATGAAATCCTTCTAGAAGTTTTTGCTTGGAGACCCACACTTTGGGTTATGTCATTTCCAAGAAAAGGTCAATTTCTTCCTATTCTGGTTTTCGCATCATAAATGGGAGAAATAGAATTTTAATGTAAAAATCTTTAGGAATTATGAAAATCGGACAATTACTCTTTGTTTTCAGTGCCCTAAGAACAGTTCTTTGTTAAAACAATATTGCCTGGTAGTTTTTGAGACCTTCTAAAGCATGTGTTTTCACCTAATTGAGCTAATTTTAGAGATAAGAAAATGTCCGTTCATTTTTAAAGAACAGTCTAGTTTAATATTGTAATACACTAAGATTTTATATTGTAATCTGTGCTGATGAACATAACTGAATAAATCCTATCAGAATTGCATCATCTCAAGTTTTGATTTTTTGTCTTTATACAGTTGAATCCCTATGATTATGAAATGATTGAAGTTGTCCTGAAAGTTATAGAAAGAGCCGATGAAAAGATAACCAACATTAATATTAATCAGGTAAAACATATTTTATACTTTTTTTTTTTTAAGATTTATTTATTTATACAAGCACTGGGTACAGTCGGAAGCACGGGAGGGTGAGAGAATTCACCAGAGCCAGAGCGGAGAGCAGAACAGGCAGACTGACAAGGTACACTGCTGAGGGGAGCAGCGGGCAGCAGGAGAGGTCTGAGCGCCATGTGGGACCCTCGCCCGGCGGCTGGGGATTGAACTGGTGCTGCCGAGGCTGCGGGCAGCTTCGCAACCCAGCGCTCAACCACTGCGCCACTGGGGAAGCCCCATATTTTATACTTTAAAATTATATTTTTATCAGAAAAATCTAATGTCTTTCTGGATGATATTTGAGCTCCCTTTAAATTCCACATTTTATTCTGTTTCCTTTTCATTATTTTTATAATTATGTTTAGTGAGGTAGTGTTGGATTATAGGACTGTATATGTTTTAGGAGTACCAAGTCACACCTCTGCACCCACCACCAAAGCCCCAGTAATCCTTTACCATAGTCCACTGAACCCCATCCCCACTTTGCTCCAAATACCTACCTTCCCCTTCAGGTAGCCTCATTTCTGCTGTCAAATTTCAAGAATCTGTTTTGGTTTTATTTGTCTGTTCTTTTTGCTTTATTTCTTTGTTCTACCTGTGAATGAAATCATCCTTCTTCTTTCTCCTATCTTCCTCCTTCAGACTTACTTCGTTTAGTATAATCTCTTCCAGTTCTATCAGTGTTGTGGAAAATGGCAAGAGTTCATCTTTTTAATAGCTGTGTAGTAGTCCTTTATGTATATGTACCACATTTTCTTAATCTACCCATCTTCTGTTGGGTACTTAGTTTATTTCCATAGCTTGGCTATTGTGAGTAGTGCTGTAATAAACATAGGAGTGCATATATCCATTCAAACTAGTGTTTTGTATTCCTTGGGTAGATACCTAGAGTGGACTTTCTGGTTTTAATATTTTGAGATCTGTTTTTAATATTTTGAGAAAATTCCATACTGTCTGGACTGGACTAGTCTATGTTCCCAACTGTGTACAAGGGCTCCTTTTCCTCTACACCCTCAACGGCACTTGTGGCTTCTGGTCTTATTTGATGTGGGACATCTCAGAGCCACAGAGATATGAAGTGGTGTCTCATTGGAGTTTTGATTTGCATCTCCTTGATGATAAGTGGCGAGCATTTTTTTCATGTGCCTGGGGACCGTCTGTATGCCTTCTTTAGAGAAGTATCTGTTTAGCTCTTTAGCCCATTTTTTGATTGGGTTATTGGTTTTCTTTTTGTTGAGTCTTATGAATTCTTTGTAGATTTTGAATATTAGCTCCTATCTAGTTTCTTTTCTTTAAAAAAGGAAAAGTAAAGATTGTTCATGTTCTCTGTTTTATCATTTATCTTAGTCCTATTTTTGCTTTCCTGAAGCAATTTAAATCTGCCCAAGGGTATGAAGCCATCAAAAGACTGATTTGTAAGAATTAAGGCAAAATTATCTGTCATCTGGGAAAGGACAGTTTCTAAAAAGCAAGGTTAGATTTAGCTTCCTGTGTTGTAGGTAAATCCAGGAGTGTGTCACTTGCACTTTAGTACTTTGAGGAACTTTTTAGTCTTTTCTGAATTTTGGCTCTAGTAGCTTTTATATCTTTTAATGGGATATTAAAAATTAAATGAAAATGGTTGAAAATGTAAGATTTAACTTAAGATAAGGGATACAGATGATAAATTTTAGATCTACTGTCTGTGTATTTAAAATGAAATTAATATTTTGAAAAGAATGTATTTATATTAGTATACAAATTTAAAAAAACTTCTGGAATTACATTCCAAATATCAGTAGTTTTGTTTCAAGTGTTTCCTAATTAAAACCACATGTACTAATTAGGTAATAAAGAGTAAAAATAACTTCAAAGCTAAGGGATTGAGACTATTCATAATATTCAGTTCAATGTGTATGTTATCTCTTGTTTTAGATACTCATTCCTGTCTGGATGGGAAAACATCTCTGAAGATAATGTTCTTTAATTCTTGGTCTTTTAAATTATAATGTACTCCTACACTAGTGAAAAATATATTAAGATTTTTATGCTAGGTAACATTACGGAGATTAGGCATGTCACATGTCATACAATTTTACATAAATTTGTACTGTATGGAAAAGTAAAAAGTCATATTAAGAAAATAAACAAGTTTTTTAAGGTATATCTCAAGCTGTTTGAAGAGAGTACAGAGAACTGTTGTCAAACTCTTGCTTACAAACGTCCCACCAACAAGATTGGTTTGGTTTTCTCCTTGTGTCTTTTTAACAATCACAGAAATTATGCTTTAGAAGAAAAGCACCAAGTAAAACTAGAAAAACTTTAGATCATTTTGGTGAAAATGAAACCTTCTCACAATGGAGACCGACCGTGGCATAAAACTAGGTGGATTGGATTAATCGCTGTTTAAAGCAGGAACATACTGTTGTTTTTTTTTTTCTTGTAGGCATTGAGTCTTCTGAAGCATTTGAAGTCGTACAGAAGAATCTCCCCGCCAGTGGACCTAGAATACCAGTATATGTTGGAACACATGATAACACTGCCTGCAGCTGCCCAAACTAGACTGCCTTTTCACCTGATATTCTTTGGCACAGCACAGAACTTCTGGAAAATTCTCTGTATGTTCATGAACTTCTTACACATTTTACTGAATAGTCAAAACTTTTTTTTTTTTTAAAGATTTATTTAATTTATGTATACAAGAACTGGGGTATAGGCCAGAGGTGTGGGGGGGGGTGAGAGGATTCACCAGAGACAGAGTGGGGAACAGAACAGGCACATCCACTGAAATACATTACTGAGGAGAGCAGCGGGGAGTCAAGAGAGGTCTGCTGCACCATGTGGGTAGCTCCCTGACCAGGGATCGAACTTGGGCTGCAGTGGCTGCGGATAGCTTCATAGGTTGCATCTAAATCCCTTGCGCCACCAGGGAGGCCCTCAAAACTTTTTCTTAACCAAATCATGACTTTCCTTGTTTCCTTTCTAGCCACAGAACTCAGCGAAGAATCCTTCCCCACCTTGCTCTTAATTTCTAAATTAATGAAGGTAATGGTTTAAAACTTTGCAAGACTTACCTTGATCCTCTAACTCAGACCCTGGCTAGAAGGGTTATTGAAAGCTTTTGTGTAAAGCCCTGAAAAGTAAGCATCCAAAGAAGCCTTAACTTTTCTCTCCTTCTCTTTGAAGTTCTCTTTGGATACTTTGTACGTGTCCATAGCCAAACACGTGTTTGAAAAAAAGCTGAAGCCCAAACTCCTGAAGTTAACACAAGCTAAACCCTCACTCCTGATGAACAAGGAATTAACCAAGATCACACAAACCATTGAGTCCTACTTACTGTCTATCGTTAACCCGGAGTGGGCTGTTGCTATTGCCATCAGCCTGGCCCAAGAAATCCCAGAAGGTATGGATCCTTCCTATAATTGGGCTTAAAGGTGGCGGGCTTGTTATTCTTTGAACTTGTCTCCAAGTGGGTATGAAGCGTGGGTGCTGTCTCTGCGCTTGTGGCATTGCTAAGGGTTGAAAAGGCTCAGGCCAACTAAGCGAATCCCCTTGCTGGCTGATCAGCCTGCAGGGACGCCAGCACCCCACAGGGATGCCCACAATCCACCCATCAGTGGGAATGCACATCAGCAACTACTGCCTAACAGCCAAGCAAGTGCTCAGAAGTGAGCCCCTCGCTCTTCCCACATTATCAAGCAGGTGCAAACACAGACACTGATTGCCTTAGGTTGGGGTTAGCAAAATGAAAATAACTTAAAAATCACCTTTGGCCAGGAGCTGGTTTTTTTTTTTTTTTTAAAGATTTATTTATTTATGCATAGAAGAATTGGAGTACAAGCCAAGGTGCAAGGGATGAGAGGATTCACCAGAAACAGAGTGGGGAGCAGAACAGGAGGATCAACTGAAATCCATTGTTGAGGAGAGCAGCGGGGAGACAGGAGAGGTCTGCTGCACCCTGTGGGTCAGCTCCCTGGCTGGAGATTGAACTCGTGCTACAGTGGCTGCGGGTAGCTTTGTAGTGCTGAGACTTGACCCCTTGCAACACCAAGGAGGCCCAGGAACTGGTCTTTAAAAATAGAGCATATTCGTAGACTAGAGTGTGAGCAGTTGATCTGCAAAGGTATCCAAGGTGTATGCTCCGTGAGAGCAGCAGGTCGTCCCACAGCACAAGGGGTCCCACCCAGTTATGACACACACAGGTGGGACCTTCCGGGAGTCCATGGAATCTCCAGAAGAGGAACAGACACTACAGGAGCTGCTGGACTTCCACTTCTTACTTGGTCTCCACCCATCCGGCCTAAATTGCTTTTTACTATGACTTTACAGCTCTATCATTTTAAAAAATGATCGAGGTGGCTTACCTAATTTGACTAGAATTTGCTTGTTAATCTTTTCTTTCTCTTCTTAGGTTCCTTCAAGATGTCCAGTCTGAAATTCTGCCTGTACTTGGCCAAGCGGTGGCTACAGAATGTCCCACCTCAGGTGTGTATGAGCCTGAGACTGGAGGCTCCGCTTCTTTCTCCATGTCCACTGCATTCTCCTAGCAAACCTCGCTGCCCTCTGCGACGCCCCCTTCCAGGGGCTAGATGTCCAAAATGAAGAACCACGAGGCTTTGTGTGGATGCTGAGGGATGTAACCAGACAGGGAGGCCCTTGATGGACACAGATGGCTGCTTGCCTCATCTCAGCCTGGAGATTTTAGAAAATGAGAGTTTCTCTTGGAATTTCTTATCAGGGTGAGAAGCACGAGAAGGCGGAGGCTTTGCTGAAGAAGCTTCACATCCAGTACCGGCGGTCGGGCACCGAGGCTGTGCTCATCGCCCACAAGCTGAACACCACCGAGTACCTACAAGCCATCGGGAAGCCAGCGCACCTCATTGTCAGCCTGTACGAGCACCGCAGCATCAGCCAGAGGATCCAGAATTCATCTGGCAGAGACTATCCTGGTGAGCACAAGACCCTTTACCTTTCTGTGCCAGGAAAGGGATCATTTTGATCTTGTTATCTTTTTTGTGGAGAGTTTGGATTTTTCTTCTCTTAATTCTTCGTCTTGACTATCTCAGATATTCATGCAGCAGCTAAGGAAATAGCTGACGTGAACGACATTAACTTGGAGAAAATCTGGGACATGTTGCTGGAGAGGTGGCTGTGCCCGTCCCTGAACCCTGAAGTGAGTCCGTGTTGCCCAGGCTGTCTGTGGCATCTGAGCCGATGGCCTCGCCTCAGAGGCTGGTAATTAGTCCACATCTGTGCCCCTTCTGGACACAGCTCAGAATCTTGAAAAGGATCCTTTGTTCATTTTAATGCGTGCTGTTACCTGACAAGGTCTAATGGGGTGGCTTACCTTTTTGTTTGAATATTGTTTTGCAATTTTCTCAACTTTTAATTGATTCCAGATGAATTCTTGCATAACAGAAGTGGCCTGTGCTTAGATTCAGATTCATGTCTTTATTTTAAAATAATTTTTAATGTACAGAAAAGTAGCGGTAATATCAGAGAAATTCTGCCTATCCTTTACCCAGATCCCTCCATATTTGCTTTATCATTATCCCTAGACTATATATACATACTCATATTTTTCTGAACCATTTGAGAGTCAGTTGCATCCTTTTACCCATTAAGTGTGTATGTCCTAAAAACAAGGTTTTTCTCTTACTTAACCACAGTATGTTTATCAAAGTTGGATCCTTTAATGTTGATACAATACAAAGGCAGCCTGGCACCTGTATTGTAACCAGTACAAACTGGTGAAAATGTTATTATTTAACATGTAACGTTACAGTTATCCTGACAGTTATCCTGACGCTATTCACAGCAACTTCCTCCTGGTCCCTGGGATCAGGGTCTCTAATCTCTTGATCTGGAGACACTCTGACTTTTCCTTGTCTTTTATGACTTTTTTTTTTTAAGATTATTTATTTGTTTTTGCACAGAAGAACTGAGGTATAGGTCAGATGTGCAGGGGGTGAAGGGGTGAGAGGATTCACCGGAGACAGAGTGGGGAACAGAACAGGTGGATCTACTGAAATGCATTGCTGAGGGGAGCAACGGACGAAACAGGAGAGGTCTACTGTGCCCTGTGGGTCAGCTCCCTGGCCAGGGATTGAACTCAGGCCGTTGGGGTGATAGCACTGAGACTTAACCCCTAGACCACCGGTTATGTGTTTTTGATAAGAATTTTATATAGGTGATAAGTTCTTTTCAGTGATGGGAGACTTTAAAAATAGTATCATTAACATCTAAACTTAAATGCAACTCAGCAATCCGATGACAGAGTTTTCTGCATTGTTTTATCTGCATTTTCTGTAGAACTTAATTAGGGTGATCCATAATTCCTTTATCCACTTGGGCCCATCAATGGCCTTGATAAAAATTTTTGTAATTGTTTTTATAATAGTAAAACTTACTTGATGTTAGATTTTTTAATTAGTTTTTATATCACTTGGCATTAAATTTAAAAAGCATTTTTTACGTATCTACCAAGTGCAGGGATGTTGCTTGAATGGAAACTGAGGCATCAGAAGCACATCTCAGCCATGTGGAATCTGTGATTCACTCAGAGCCAGTGTATTTAACTTGTATGTAAGTCTGGGGTATAAAGAGAGTTTTTTGAGGTCAGACGCTGTGCCTGCATCTGGCGCATTGCTGTGCGTATCTCCGTAAAGTATACTGAATTCATGAACGACTCATGTAAAATCAAGGGAGACCTTCTCTTTTAAAAATTATCTGATCGGGCCTCCCCGGTGGCACAGCAGTTGAGCGCTGGGTTGCGAAGCTGCCCACAGCCTCTGCAGCGTCAGTTCGATCCCCGGTCACCGGCGAGGGTCCCACATGGTGTGCAGACATCTGCCGCACACTGCTCCCCTCAGCAGTGTCCTCCGTCTGTCTGCCTGTTCTGCTCTCCCCTCTGGCTCTGGTGAATTCTCTCACCCCCCCATGCTTCTGACTGTACCCAGTGCTTGTATAAATAAATAAATAAATCTTTAAAAAAATTTACCAAAAAAATTTAAAAAAAATTATCTGATGGGGGCTTCCCTGGTGGCATGGGGGTTAAGTCTCAATGCTATCATGAGTTTGATCCCTGGCCAGCAGACCTCTCCTATCTTGCCAACTGCTCCCCTCAGCAGTATACTTTGTTCAATCTGCCTGGTCTATTCCCCATTCTGTCTGGTGAATCCTCTCACCCCCTGCACCTCTGGTCTGTACAAATAAATAAATAAATAAATCTATCTTTTTTTAAAATGCCCAATGAATTTAAGGTCCAGGAAGATAAGGACATTTGTTTTGTTCACTTAGGCCGCCTCATGACTGGTACATAGTAAGTGCTCAGGTAATACTTGAATGTGAGCAAACCCATCCTTAGGCAAAAATCGCTACATACTGTGATTAATTACACTGTGATTTCTTTGGTATTTCATAATTTTGTATGTTGGGTGTTCATCTAATAGGTTTTCATAAACTTATAAAACTAACAATTCCTCAATTTATTTCTTTTTTACTTTTTTCAAAGAAATTGTCAGAACTATTTGAACTTCAAGAAGATGAAGCACTACAGAGGTATTCTTCCTTTACTTGACTTTTGTCTGCGTAGCCCTGGTAGACATCTTAACAATTTATCAGAAGTTGGTTTTTTAAAAAGACTCTTATTATAACTTGAGTCAGAACCTCTGAGAATGGATTCATGGACAGTTGGCTATGGGTCTGTCCCACTATCTCCAGAGAATAAATAAGAAACAGCCAGGATCTAGAATGCCTTGGATTCCTGGAACCTCTGTGGCAGAAGGAAGCCCCGTTATTAGCTGGGACTCTGGCCCTGGGCCCTGTCTGCTCGCTCATCCTGGTGAACTGGGCTGCTTCAGAGTGGGCCTCCACACCCCTTTCCCCTTCTGACCTCACACTGAAACCAAGAGAGGCAAGCTGGTTTCCTCGGCTGTGCTTGACCTGGCTGGTTGCGCTCGCCCTTTCAAGAAGACCATATCTGGGCCCAAATCAAAAAGAATGTGGTGATGCATTCATGACACTGGGAGAGGGAGTGGCAGCATGCAAGCCAGTGCTGTGCCAGTCCTGGCCAGACCCAGAGCAGGACAAGCCACCCGTGAAGCCCTGCACCCTACATCAACCCTGCAGATCTGATAGTGAGAAAGAATGCGGGAAGACAACCCCCAGAAAAGAAGTCCTCCTGGTTTGGGGCAGAGCCGGCCCCACCCACTCTGTCCTTCCTTTCCTCCTCCCACCCCGTTCTTGCTTAGTCTCTTAAAGGAGTTGCCTCTGTATCTACTGTGCCGGCCAAATGGAAAGCCTCAGAGAGGAACAATTTAAAGAGAGAGAGAAAATGCCAATGTTACAGGGCACACCCTGATATAAAATGGGTTGCCTGAGTGGGTCCTCACCCGCATTAATAAGTCCTTAAAGGGGACTTATTAATGCTAAACTGCAGACACACACAAAAGGTTGATAAAAGGTTTATTTACAAGGGAAGGGGAAATGGAGAAATGAATAACTCAGGGAGAAAAGGGGGAGATGAGTTTGTAAATGTATCCCTACCTGTTCCGCTGACCTGGAATCCCAATGACCCACCGAGCTCACGAAAAACCTAGCATGCCATGTGGCCAAGAGGGCGAACCCCCACCCCGGCCACATGGCCGGTTAAATACTCAAATGGAGAGCCTGGTTGCTTAACTCCGCCCTCAGGTCCTTGCAGCCTTCCCTTTGGTGATCATGGGATTTGTAGTTCCCAGTGTCGTGGGGTGGAGTCCACAAGCCTGTATGGAGTTTGCTCAGGACATCCTTTCCCCCTAACACCAAGATAGAAACCCCCAAGGGTATCCCATGCCAGTGTTGTGACTTCCTGCCTTTCCCACAAGAGCTCCACCTGCCTTGCTGGGCCCGTTGGGTGCCCATCTCTGTGGGGGCCCGTAGGCTGATCTTGAGGTCCTGGGAACGGGGATCCTGCGTGCATAGGGTTCTGCATCCTTAGCAGCTGTGGTGTGTATGAATTTCTTAAATAGAATTTAATCAGAGCTCGCAAGCCTTTCTTAGATGAGGGGATGCGACTGAGCGTTGCTGGTGTTTATTACCCGCTTTTGGGCATGAGTTGTTCGGGACGGCTAAGCAGCCTTTAAAGGGGGAAGCAAACATTCCCTTGTGCCATCGCCTTCCAGTTTGGGGTGGCTCATGACTTCCTGTGGACACTGAGACAGGGCTGGTCGCTACCTTCTGACGCGTGTACCTGTGTTTTGTTTCCAGAGTCCTGTATCTCCTCCAGTCTTGGCCGATGGATCACAGTTCAAGGATTCTCTTTCTTCTGGCCACATCAGCTACGACTGTAAGTCCAGAAACTGTGGTCAAGGCTCATCTTTGCATCTCAGCTTAACATCTTTTCCTGCCTCTTCACCACGCTTGCCCTTATTAACAGATGACTAAGATAATGATCCCTCACATCCCTCACACCAGGACGGTAATGCCTGGCACGCTCCACTGCCAGTGGCCTGTCACATCCTGCTTGTGGGCTAGTCCACTGTGCACGGGGGGCCGTCCCGCAGCTCCCCCACTTCACAGTTACTCCCGGCTTAGTGGGTTAGTCGACATTCAAGGACCAGGGTCAAACCCATCCGCCCAGGGAGAAGACCCCACTCCAGCCGGCAGCTCTGCGTGACCTGGTCTCTCTCTCCAGTCAGCAGCTCCCCTTCTCCCTCCCCCTGAACTCAGACTCCCTCCCCATGAAGTCAACACATCCTTCAGGCTTGAGCAATAGGAGCCTGGGCCTTGGAGCAGGAAGTGGAAGGGCTGCAGCCAAGAGGCAAATGGGCCTAGGAAGAAGGGGGAAAGTAAAATCTGCGATGCCAACTGTATGTCCTTGACAGCAAGGGGCCGGGGGACTCCTCTCCTTATTCTTTGCATATTAGTTTATCTGACAGCCACCACCCCCCTTTTCTTTTTTTTATTTTTTTTAAAAGGCATCCATTTCTTTTAAACAGCCTTTTTTTTTTTTTTTTTTTTTAAAGATTTATTTATTTATTTATACGAGCACTGGGTACAGTCAGAAGCGCAGGAGGGGGAGAGAATTCACCAGAGCCAGAGCGGGGAGCGGAACAGGCAGAAGGACCGAAGCACACTGCTGAGGGGAGCAGCGGGTGGCAAGAGAGGTCTGCACGCCATGCGGGACCCTCCTCCGGAGCTGGGGAGCGGCCGGGATCGAACCGGCGCTGCAGAGGCTGCGGGCAGCTTCGCAGCCCAGCGCTCAACCGCTGCGCCACCGGGGAGGCCCCCCCTTTTCTTAAAGATTTATTTATTTATGTATACAATACTTAGGGTGTAAGCCAGAGGTATGGGGGGGTTGAGAGGACTCACCAGAGACAGAGTGGGGAACAGAACAGGCAGACTGATTGAAATACACTGCTGAGGGGAGCAGCGGGAAGACAGGAGAGGTCTGCTGCACCATGTGGGGCTCAGGGTTGGCCGGGGATAGAACTTGTGTTGCAGAGGCTGCAGATAGTTTCACAGTGCTGTGCTTAGCCCCTTGTGCCACCAGGGAGGGATCCCCCCCTTTTTTTTTTTTTTTTTTTTTATGTAAAAATGATGTTCCCTGAAAACTGGCTCTTCAGCTCACCCCCAGTCGCACAAGTGATTTCCTTGAGAAGCCACAGAGACAGCCCAGGAGAATGGGGAACCCGCTCTGACTACTCCCAGTGTGGGATCAGTGTGAATTCAGTCAGTGTCAGGGGTGGGGTTTAATAAAATTAAATTTCACCACTTCATCAAGAGCTTCCTTGAGTGAAAGTCGCCTGGTTCCAGCGTGGCAGAGACAGAAGCCTCTGGTGGCCGGGGGCACTCAGCGGCCAGCATAGAGAGCAGCACCGTGTCTAGGGCGGAGCTTCTTTGTATTATCAGGAAAACAGTTTTGACCCTTTCCCTCCCGAGAGTCTGAGGTCCACGCCAGCGTCCATGGACCACACTTGGAGAATCACTGTTCCAAGCTCTGGGTTCTCAAAGGGCAGCGATCGACTCTAGTTTGTTTTTGTTTTTGTCTTTGTTTTTGTTTAAATATATAACAATAATTGTTTATTGCATTTTTATCAACTAATTTTTTAAACATTTTTGAAAACAAGGAGTGCGACCCATGCCCTCTTTGGTCTTGCAGACGCTGGGTACGTGCCAGTTGACCTTTGCCCACAGGACGCGAGCTCTTCAGTGCCTCCTCTCTTTGGCTGACAAGGAAACAGTAGAATCCCTCTTCAAAAAGCCCCTTGAGAAAGTGAAGTAAGTGGACTTTTAAATGTATTTATTGAAGTCACGTTGCCCCGTAGCCTCATGTACTTCACGACGTGCGTCACAGGTGCCGTCCTGAGAATGGCCACACGCACGCACGCATGGTGGTGGTCCCTCGGTGGGGGCGGGGGGCGCCATCAGCAAATTCCGTCACCTGCGTCTCTCGTGGCTCACTGCCCAGTTCGCTTCTCTACACCTGCACTACCTTCAAACTACCGTTATTTTTAACTTTCTTCATTCTAGCAGGTAGAATTTTTGAAATTGTTTTAAGCAATAGGGGACAGAGGGCTTTTTGAGAACATCCAAGCTCTCCCTTTGTGGAAGTTCCTGGAGTGGCCGCAGACGCCAGTCCTTGCCCTGAATGTCCTTGACCTCGTAGCAGAGGGCAGACCTTGGAGAAGAGCTTGTTGGGCTCCTGTCTCGGAGACGCTGAGAAACTGAATGTTTTCTTCATCCTGCTCAAACTGCTTTCTCTCTAACGTTACCTCTGGTGAATGTATTCTGAAGCCAAAGAGAGAGCCCTGGAAACGCACTGCCTCGCGTCCCACCTGGTGCTTTTGCTCTCCCTGGGAATGTGGCCCTTGAGAACGATCCCCCACCTACCTGTTTTCCAGATCGTACATGAAATGTATAACTTTCCTGGCATCCTTTGAGGCTTTGAACATCCCCATCACATATGAATTATTTTGCAACAGTCCTAAGGAAGGAATGATTAAGGGTCTGTGGAAGAACCACAGCCACGAACCCATGGTAAGTGCCGGGTCGCCCCCATCTGCACAGCGTCCTCACTCAGTCGCCTGGAAGACAGACGCAGAGACGCTCTTCTGCCTCTGAGACCTTCCCTGCCCCATCTGCCAGGTGTCAGTGCAACCTGGGAGCGCCCTTGCACTCCCCCCTAAAGCCCACGGCCTAAAGCACCCCTCCCGAGAGAGAGCCATACCTTCCCAAGGCCTGTCTGCCCAATCCCCCAACCCAGCTTCCCTTTGGGAATTCAGACTCTGAGGCAGTTGGAGCCCAGGGAAGGAAGGGCTTGGGCTCTGCAGGCAAACAGTTCTTGGACAGAAGGAAGAAAGGGGGGCAGGAGCCTGACGTAATATTGGTGATCCATGACAGCAAGAAAGAAAAAGAATAATCTTAACCTCTTTTTGCCCCTTTTTCTTAGAAAGTTGGGGGTGTTGACAGCGCCTGGGCAGCCGCATACTGAGATGATAAGTTTGTGAGGAAGCTGCCCCACCTTTTCCCAAGGTGGTTTGATTTCCTGGTGTCTTGAAGCAGTGTTATTTTTGTCTCCGATAGGCGGTAAGGTTGGTGACGGAACTTTGTCTGGAATACAAGATCTTTGACCTGCAGCTTTGGAACGGACTCTTGCAAAAACTTCTTGGCTTTAATATGGTGAGTGAGACTCGGCGTCCTCACGAGCCAGCAGTGGGGCCCAACGCCTTGGCCCAGCTGCTCCACCCACCCCAGCTCATCCCAATCATCAGGCAGGGGTTTGTAATTGTGATTGTGCCGCCAGCATAAAGAACTTGGTGGTGGACCAAAGAACGTGCAGGCTTAATATTTCATCTCGAAATTTTCCATTTTGGTGGTCCCCAAAACCTTTGTTTTACCTGTTTTACAGATTCCTTACCTAAGGAAAGTTTTAACAACCATTTCCAGTGTCCATTCTCTGTGGCAGGTAAGTGGTATTTTAAAATTCAGCTTGTTAGAATTTCACCTTTGTACTCAGCGGCCTTGTGTCTGCTGGGCACATGGGGGAGAACAGAACCATCTGCTGCAGGAGGGGGTTCCCTTAATGTGTGCCTGGGCCCGCAGCACTCACCCAGGCATAGCCTCCTCCAGGACCTTCCTGTCCCCAGTTCTCTGGGCTCAAGAGTCACATCTCATTTACGCGCTTCAGACACTTGTTCTACTGAAATGTCTGCCAGTGTAATTCTCTAACACACATCCGACTGCCCGTCTTAACTTTAAAGTCAGAGACCGAATCTTACTCTTTTCTAAATACCCAAGTTGTGTGCCCACATAGCCATTATAATATAATATATAGAGAAATCTCTAACTTGCTCTTAGTTTATTAAATTAAAACATTCTAGAAAATATGCCAGCTAAAACTAGGACATTCTCCTTTACTGTTCCCCTTGATAATTATCTCTGGGAGGTAAAAGCTGTTTACAATTTCATATTTTTTTCCTAGAGCTTTCCTGTTAGTATAAAAATATGCGCGTGTGTATCAATACATTTTGCACATGTAAATGCAATCACATAATGTCAGCTGTGAGCACAGGGCGTTAAAGAACATTCAGTGTCCCGGCCGTGAGCTCTCCTGTGTGTTTCCCTCCCCAGGTTCCCTACTTCAGCAAGGCCTGGCAGCGCGTGGTGCAGATACCACTTCTCTCAGGTAGGCGCCTCCTCCAAGCGCTGGCCGTAGCATTTAATAGGTGTGTGCGTGCGGCTGTGTCACTGTTGTCTCTTATTTTCAGCCTCATGTCCCTTAAGCCCCAGTCAATTGTCAGAGTGTTGCGAGAGTCTCATCGCTGTGCTGGAGTAAGTAAAGTACTTGCTTTCCTGCCACAGAAATTCATCGTGTTGTTGATCCAACCCCTTTCTAATAAGCATCCCATTCGAAGCAGTTCCTTCTCCTGGGGAAGTCAGGCATCCACTTCTAAGAAAGCATCTGTTGTTTCACAATGTCTGTTTTCCACATGCAGCTAACTGGTCTAAAGTCAGTCCCCAGTTTCAGTGTCAGAACAGGGTATCTCGTGTGAGTGTCCCCAGTCAGGTAGTGTTGTCTCATAAATTCTGAGTCTTCTTTTTAGACACATGTAGGCGTTTAGATGTGATCTCAGCCACCCCCAGTAACTGATGTACCTGGGAAGAGACTCTCATTCATTGGAGAAGCTCTAAAAGACTAGTGGGGGTGACGCTCCAGCACTTTCGTGTGGTAAATGAGCGAAAGCACAGATGGGTGATCCCTGGGAGAGGTGGACAGGCCAGTGGAGTCTGGGGCGTCTGACGGGCTGTTAACCATGGCTATGCTCTCTCGAAGGTGTCCGGTCTCCGGCGACCTCGACATGGTTGGCGTTGCCAGGCTGTATGCCCAGCTGGGGCTGCCAGCCTTCGCGGTCGCCTGCCTGATGCTCATGCCCCACTCGGAGAGGAGACACCAGCAAATTAAGGTGGCCGCAAAGCGTTCCTCTGGGGCTGCCGTAGAAACAGGGGCCTCGCCTGGCACGTACCTTGCCATAAGTGGCCTTTTTCCTTCACCAGGCAGAAGAACCTGAGCCCGTCAGGGCCGGGGCGTCATGGGTGTGGGGTTGAGTGGGAACTAAGGCCGAAAACCAGATTCAGGAAGTCTGAGGGGAGCCTTGAGAGGGGTGTGGCCTTGTTCTCTACCAGTGGAGACAGTGGCTTTTCTAACAAGAGTAGAGCATTTTAGAAGGCATGACCCATGTAGGCTTGGTCCAGAGGAGGGAGGAGGCAAGAAGGGACACCTCGGGATAGGGTTCCATGCCCCTGCACGCACAGGTAACCTGTGGACAGGCCAGGAAAGCTCCATGGGGTTAGCCCCCAGAGAGGGTGGTGGCAATGAACAGGAGCTTGGTGGTGAAAACTACGAGGAGGAAGGCGGTGGCCTGACTTAGCGACTGGGTGTGGGCGATGGAAGAGGGAAGAGCTGGCATCCATGTGTGGGTGCCTCAGCATTTCAAGGACAGAACTTTTTAAAATAACTTGCATTCCCTTTATAATCTAGAACACACAGAACAAAGCATTTGGGGAGGTTCCTGTCATTTCCCCACAGGTAGACAGGCCAGTCGGCAGCTGCACCAATGAGGGAGTATCTTTTTTATGGGTCCTTTGGTCTATTCACTGCATTTTTTTCCCAAGCCATCTGTGTTTGACTTTTGTCTTTCTTGACTTATTCATCAACTTATCTGCTGATGTTTCTCAAGGTTTAGTATTTAAATAGATTCCTTTTGGCACTTAAAATGACAGAATGCTTGCTAAACAGCTCTCGCTGGAGGGATAGATATTTATAAAAAAATGCTTTTTCCTTATTTCAGTCTCTTGTCATTGAGAGGGGGATTTTTTTTCCTATAATGGAAATTCTTTAAGATAGTTCAGATTTGAAAATGAAAACTTTCCAGATTTCCATAATTACCAGTAATTATGCTTTTTCATTAATTATGTTTTATTTTTTTTCTCTAGAACTTTCTGGGCTCATGCGATCCTCAGATCATTTTACAACAGTTAGAAGAGCACATGAATACTGGCCAGTTAGCAGGATTTTCACATCAAGTAAGAGGCAATTTCTCTCCATTTTGCTATGAAAAATTTGATATTAGAAAATAGTAATTGTCCCTAAAACCAAGATTAAGCTAAAAACTCTTTATTAATATCTAAATTGCTTTCATTAAAACATCAGTAAATTGTCTTTGTAGCCTTAGATGCTTGTAATTGTAAACATAAATTTATGTTCCTCATAAAAGACCCCAAAGTGCTTAACAGTACTTAATTGCTGTCCATAAACTACTGAATTGGGCCAAGGTTGGGGGGTCCACCCCTCACACGCCACCCCATCCCCACCCTCCCATCTCGAGCAAAAGGGAGGCCTAGTCACCATGCAGTGATAATTTAACTTCTAATATCAGAAATGTTTCTTTATTAAATAAGGACTTGAAATTGAACCCATTTGACTGACGAAACCTGTCTTTCTATAGATTAGAAGTCTGGTTCTGAATGATATCATAAATAAAAAGGAGTTTGGAATTTTGGCCAAGACAAAATATTTTTCGGTGTTGAAATCACACATGGTGAATTCCAGCAGCGTCGCTGACCTAGTGAACTATTTGGCAAATGACTTAAGGTAAGTTAATCAAAAGCAAAACAAAACAAAAAAAACCTTACTCTAGAATTTCATAAACCTTTGTCTCTATTTTTTTGGAGGACAATATCAAACAATTGTCAGGGTATTGGCTTATGATTAAAGATTCTGAGTGTTTAGCAGTAGCCTTACTGCACATCCTCAGAGGTGAGCTGTCTTGTAACCCCCACTCCTTGGAACATGAACCTAGAACCATACAATTAAACAGGTCGTCTGCACCCCAAAAAAGGTGCCTTCACAGTCATGCTAAGTTACAAACTTTATTCCTGAGATAGGCACTTGCTCAGAGAATTGATGACTTGGTGGAACATAATTTTTGCTGAGCCTGGTTATTGAACGGTCCAGCACACAAAAGTTCAAAAACAGTAAGCTGCTTGGGCTGGGCTGGGGACGGAGATGGGAGGTGAAAAGGAGAAGGAAGAAGTGGGCAAGCTCAGTCCACACTGAGATGTGAGCGGCTGCTCCTGACGTTTGGTGTGACTGCCTGGTGGCCTGGGAGACGCCCCCACAGCCTCGCCAAGGATCCCTCTGCTCCCCCACCACCTGTGACCGAGCATAATCCCAAGCCATCTGGTTTGTGAACAAGTGGTATTTGTTGAGGTACAATAAAACTCACGTTTCAGGTGTGCAATTGGGTACGTTTTGACTGACGTATAACCTGTGAAGGCATCACAGTCCAGATAATGAGCACATTTATCACCCCCAAAAGCTTTCTCGTGCCCCTCTTTTTCTGTCCGTAGTTTGGAGGAAGCATCTGCCTTTATCACCGAGTACTCAAAGCATCACGGGAAGCTGATACCACCTGACTCTGTTCCCTGTGAGGTTCTGAAGGTAAAGGCAGCATGTTTACTCAGTGTTCTGGGGAGCAATGTGCTTTTTATGCATGATTGTGTATGCTTTCTTGTTTTGCTTTTTGCATATGAGAGTCCAAGACCAGAAATCAGGAGGCCTTGCCTCCTCTCCGCCAGCAGCAGGGTCTCCCTGGCCAGGCCTGAGTGCGCCGCAAGGCCTTGCGTGGTCTCTGGGTGCTCCCAGCATTCGGAGTCCTCAGAGAGTCTTGTTCATGTTGAAGCAAGTGAAAAGCTGAATTTTAAAAGGCATTGGTTAATGTTGTGCTTGGGTATTAGTTGCTTTTATTTATTTTTTAATTACTGTAGTCATTTGTCTTTAATTACCATATATACACACACACACATACATACATACATACATACATACATACATACATACATATATGGAAGGAAGAAAACCCCAGCTAATCTGCTGAAATCTCACTGCCTGTAGGTGGGGTCAGTGTTCACACTTTGTCATATTTTCTGCACATAAATTACTTTTCGGAACTTAAATATAAGGTAATTCTTTCACCTTGATGGTGGATTGGTAGTCTCAACAGACCTCAGTGGTGGTGTTTATGCTGCTGGTCCCGATCACGCATGTTAAAATGAATTCACACTGTGTAGGCGTCTCCTTTGAACTTCAGTTGTTACTTGCAGTCTGTTTTGCTCTATGATATGACATTACTTTTTTGGGAAAAGGGAGAATATTGATTCAGGAGACAAATTATAGCCTTTAAAATGTTTTACTGTAGTCATTTCTGTCTAAAATGTCCAAAGGGCCTCCCTGGTAGCCTAGGGGTCAAGTCTCAGGCTATCACTACAATGGCAGGAGTTCAATCCCCAGCCGGGGAGCTACCCACATGGTTCAGCAGACCTCTCCTGCCTCCCCACTGCTCCCCTCAGTAGTGTATTTCAGTAGATCTGCCTGTTCTGCTCCCTACTGTCTCTGGTGAATCCTTTCACACACTCACACCCCCCACCTCCGCACCTCTGGCCTACACCCCAGTTCTATGCAAAAATAAATAAAATCTTTAAATAAAATGCCAAATAATTTTCTATGTGGATTTTTAGCAATACAGTTAAGTTCTGTAGTTGACCTGACTGTTCTCTACTTAAAAAGCTAAATGGCACTCATTAAAAAAATGCATCTGTGTTTTTTCCCATTTAGATGTTTCTTAATGGGTCATTGTAAATCATCAAACCTTTATTCAAGAAGAACAAGAAGTTTGCAGTCTGCTATTAACTGACCATGTTTATTAAGCTTTTTAAATTGTGTGAGCTACAAGTTACAGCTGTCAGCCAACCAATAATGAAGATTCTTTATAGCAGCACAATGATGCCATAAAGAACTCATTTCTGAATTAGTAAATCTTTGCCTGTTACTTGTATCATGTAGCGAGGCTGTCGATTTTCTACCGCAAATATGAAGGAAGCAACATGCAAAAATATTTTGTGCCACTCCCACAAGAAAAACAACCTATTTCGTTCACATATGCAAGTAAGAACATCAGCCTTTTAAATGTATTCCAAGGACTGTGTATATAATTTTTGCTGCAGGATGTACCACTCAGTGGCCAGCCAAAAAAAGAGAAACCACTCTAGGTATTTCAGGCCAGAAAGATTTAATGGTAGGCATTGGTTACAAAGGTGTTAAAAGGCCTGAAGTCATTAGAGAGATGGGGGGGGGGTGCAGTGGGGGCACCAAAAGCCCAAGGGGACAGGGCTTGTTAGCTGCTGATCAGGAAGCTGCTAGTCCTAACCCTCAGTTGGAGCCCTGAACCCTTGTTGGCCAGAGCTGTTGGAGCTGCCCTGCCACCAGAAATGCTGAGCACCCCCACCAACACTGCTGAAAACTTAGTTCGCTGCCACCCCATTGCCCTCTTCACCTCAGCTCCCTCGGCCTCTGCCAGGCCACCGCCTTTGTCCCACCTCCTCAGTCTTATGCCACTGACGAGAAATGACAGCTCCCTCTTACCAACATTTACCATCTTCCATTATGCTTGTGACTAACAAGAATAAACTGAATCTGTTAAAGCTCGATTTCATTTTCCTTTATTTGCCAGTTGAGAAAAAGTGTTTCTATACAGAAAATGCAGGGTAGCTTTGTGATTAAAAACATGGGTTTTACACTCTGTGACACAAACTTCAGAAACACCTTTGAGGAGTCTTCTCCAGAAGCAAGGAAAACCAAGGAGATAAACAGCTGGGGCCACATCAGGCTAAAGGCTTCTGCACAGCAAGAAAGAATAACCAGGATGAAGAGAGGTCCTGCTGAATGGGAGAAAATATTTGTGCACCACGTGATGGATAAGGGACTGATATCAAAGATCTATAAGAGCTCACACAACTCAACAAAAACCAAGCAAACAGCCCAATCAAGAAATGGGCAAAAGAACTAAAGACGCGCCGGTTTGATCCCCGGCTGCTCCCCGGCCACCAGAGGAGGGTCCCACATGGCGCGCAGACCTCTCCTGCCGCCCGCTGCTCCCCTCAGCAGTGTCCTTCGGTCCTTCTGCCTGCTCTGCTCCCCGCTCTGGCTCTGGTGAATTCTCTCACCCTCCCGCGCTTCTGACTGTACCCAGTGCTTGTATAAATAAATAAATAAATCTTTAAAAAAAAACAAAAACAAAGAAGAAGTGCAAATGGCCAACAGGCATATGAAAAAATATTCAGCATCACTAATTATCAGGGAAATTCAAATCAAAACCACAATGAGATACCATCTCACTCCAGTGAGAATATCCCACATTAAAAAAAATACTAGAGGGCCTCCCCGGTGGCGCAGCAGGTTGAGCGCTGTGAAGCTCCCGGCAGCCTCAAGGTTCGCTCCCGGCCGGCTGGTGAGGGTCCTACGTGGAGCAGCAGACCTCTCCTGTCGCGCCCACTGCTCCCCTCAGCCGTGTATTTCGGTCATCCACCTGTTCTGCTCTCGGCTGCGTCTGTGGTGAATCCTCTCAGCCTCCTGCACCTCTGGCCTGTACCCCAGCTCTTGTATAAAAATAAATAAATCTTTAAATAAATAAAGCTAGAAACAATAAATGCTTATGAGGATTTGGAGAGAAAGGAGCCTCTTATGCTGCTGATGGGAATGCAAACTGGTCCAGCCACTCTGGAAAGCTATGTGGAGGGCCCTCAAACTGCTAAAAATGGATCTACTGTATGACCCAGAGATTTCCACCCAAAGGACACAAAAACATTCATTCAAAAGGAAACCTGCACTTCTATGTTCATTCCAGCACTATTTACAACAGCCAAGACATGGAATCAACTTAAATGCCCAAAAATAGGTGAATGGATCAGGAAGATGTGGTCTCTATACACAATAGAACACTACTCAGGCAGCAAAAAAGACAAACTCATGCCATTTGCAGCCACATGGATGGAGCTGGAAGGGATTGTGCTCAGTGAAATGTCACAAGGAAAAAGAAAAATAGCGGCTGATTCCCCTTAAGAGGCGGAATATAGAGAAACCAAACAAAGTTCAAGAAAAAGAACCTGCAAGCTAACCTCAGAGCAGGCATACAGCCGGGTAGGGGAGGGAGGGGCATCAGAACGGGAGGGACGCGCGCAAGGGACAGTGGTGATGGCTCACAGGGGCTGTGGTGGTGGGAGAGCTGGGGGGGGCTACAGTGATGTAAGGGGGAAAAAGACCAACATGGGTTTTCGAGTAGAACAAGCCTGGAGGTTAATCCTGGCACTCATGTCTTGACCTTATGTGACTGCTCGAGGCCTTTCTCCTGCTCACTCTCGCTCTCCCCATCTGGTCGCCTCAGTTCTGCAGCCAGGTTTCAAGAGTTTGGTTTGGTTTAATTTCATCTTTTCCTTGCTTTGTTTCTCCATATTCCACATGCGTGAAATCACCCTGTATTTGCCTTTCTCCTCCAGACTTCACGTACATCATCCCCTCCAGTTCGGTCCATGTTGTCAAGAATGGCAAGATTTCCTGTGTTCTGTGAGCTGAGTGGCATTCCATTGTGTGTCCAGACCACGGCCACTCATCTGTTCCTGAGCACTTAGGCTATTTTGGTATCTTGGCTGTTGTAAGTAGTGCTGCAGCGAACACAGAAGAGCGTGTAACCCCTCAAATTAGTGGTTTTGCATTCTTTGGATAAATATCTAGGCGTGTAGTTGCTGGATCATACAGTGGGTGTGTCTTTCATACTTTTGAGACGCCTCCATGCTGCTCTCCATACGGGCTGCACCAGGCCACATTCCCACTGACAGGTCTCCCTTTGCTCTACAATCTTGGCAGCAGATTCCTTCGCACGGGAGGGAGCCTGTGAAGGCTGCTTTGCTCTCCTGCCTGCCAGCCCAGGGATGCGGTCCCCGGAAGATGTTACGTGTCTATACATTTGGAATTATTTCCTTAAGATACATGTAAAGGAATGGATTTGCCAGTAATAGGGAATGAAGAACATCTTGAATGCTCAAATACAAGATGCATTTCAAATCTTCACATCCCCATTCCTGCCAGCTCAGTGACGGTCTGCTGTCCTGCCTTCGCTCCAGCATCGAGAACCCAAAAATTATATAAAACAAGCCAAAAAAACCCACCAAAACCCAACGTCGAGCAGCCTTACTTTTAAAGCCTTCCTGTTGATTTGATAAGTGAAAATGGTGATCTCACTCTTCATGCTTGTATTTCTTTCACAAAGTCAGGCTACGGCTGGAATTACCGGTAGGGCCGGCTCTTGTGTTCTTGGGCCTGAATGTGCAAGGAATGCAGGGGCCAAAGGGGGGCGCTAGAACGTAACAAATGGGGATGAATCTGCGCGCTGGAGGGACTCCCACTAAATTGACCTGGAGTTCTTTTAACTCCGGTGTCTGTTCAGAGTAAAATTCTGATAGGTGAAAGTTTAGTTTTTGGTACGCCAGAGAAGCACTTTCTGGGAACATAAATATGTGAACTTGTCTTAAGGTGTTAGACAATTACCCAGGATCCTTCTGGCTGGTATATTTTATGTACTTTATTTTAATTGTAGCCCTTCCTCATGCCGTCCCTGAGAGAGAACAAGCCGCCTCCCGCCTTCCGCTAGCTCTCCTTTCACTGAGCATAACCCCGGCTCGCCAGCTGAGATGCTCTGACGACACCCTTGTTGAACTTGAAACCGGGCCCACCCCAGGAAGATGAATTAGAAAAAGGTTCTCCTTTCCCTAGATCTAATATAAACAGGCACCCCCAGAGGAGGGTCCCCATTTCAAAAAAGCACTAGCCGGTTACAGCCGAGTGCGACCTGCTGGTCCACACCATGACTTAGAAGGTCCCGCAGAACCCGCCCTCCCTACCTTCCTACCCGGTGCCCTTTCTCCAACCAGCCTTTCCTGGCCAGCCAGGTAGTTACCACCCAGCCCCAGTCACTTGTTAGCAGATTAGCACATCCTCCGCCTCCTCCTGCACGAAGTAGTCTTGGTTGACTTGTTCACTCTCTCACTATTCATCCTTCATCCTCAGACCCGAGGACAGTGCTCCTTGTGCACACTATTAATAAATATGTGTGAAATAAGTGAGTCTTAGCCAGCCGTGTTCAGAGGAAAAACGCCTTCCTTGGCACAACAATCATGTGAATAAGGGAAAAGGGAAGTTAGCAGCATCTAAGTTAAAGCTCTATTTTGTCATTTGCATGACTCACATGCATGGTTTCATCATCTTTTGATTTGTTTTTGTTTTGTTTTTTATTTGTGTAGAACTCGGTCATAGGCCAGAGGTGCAGGGAATGAGAGGATTCACCAGAGAGAACAGGCAGATTGAAATCCACTGCTGAGGGGAGCAGCAGGGAGACAGGAGAGGTCTGCTGTGTCATGTGGGTAGCTCCCCAGCTGGGGGTCAAACTCAGGCCATAGAGGTGATAGCACTGAGACTTAACCCATAGGCCACCAGGGAGGTCATGACTTGATTTGGATGAGGAGGCTAACTCATACCTCTACTTGGAGTAGAGATTTCAGCTGGTGGGGGGCTCTTTGCAGTTCTAGGGATGGAAAACCTCTGACGAGATGTGGGATGTTCCGTCTAATTTTCAGTGTTTCTTCTGGGGTTCAGAGAGTTGGAATCCATTGGGTCCCTCCTGGGGTAGTTTTTGACAGCTATCCTTGAGCAAGACAGTAAGACGGCATCCTTCTGGCGAGCACGTCTATCCAGATGGGAGTGGCCAGGTGAGTATATAGCTTGCTTGGAATAAAGAGTGGGTTCTTTTTCGTTGCTGGTGTCCTAGGTGGACAGACCAGTGGCCCCCCAACTTTTTATTGCATTCCCTCAGATGAACTTTTGGGTGCATTCTCCCAATATATATGCCTTCAGTCAAAATTGTAGAAAGAAGAAATGAAAAGTCAAAATTCTAATCTTCCCGTGCCCTGCGGGTGGTCCTGTGCATGCTTCTCCTTACAATACTCTGAATGTTGAGGTATAATTTGCATATGATACAACACACAAATCTTAAGTGTGAAGCTGGAGTCCTTTTTACATATTATACATCTGTATAATCCTACCCAGTGGAGCTGGAAGGGATGATGCTCAGAGAAATCAGAAGGAAAAACAAAACTATCAGAATGGTCTTACTTACAGGTGGAATGCAGGGCAAGCGAACAAAGGATCAGGAAAAAGATAAAACTTTTTACAGGCAAACCACAGGGGATCCAGCAGGGGAGGGGTTGGGAGAAGGGTCAAAAAAGGACTAAAGGGCACAAGGGACTGAGGTCATGGTTCACAAGTGCTATGGTGGTGAAACTCTGGAAAGCAGGCTGGATATCCCACATTTCATCAGACTAGGTTTTCCATCCCTAGAGCTGGAGGGACAGCACCCCACCAATTGAAATCTACTCGAGTCAAAGGCATGATTTAGCCACCTCATCCAAATCAAGAGATGATGAAATCATGCCTGCGAGTCATGGAAGTGACAAATAGTGAGTGCCTTTGCTTATTTATTTAGTTGGAACTTTCTATACAAGAACTAATGTAGAATATTCCCTCGAGCCTGAATCTTGACCATTATGAGACTCGATACCTCTATGTTATTTTGTGTAACATTCACAGTAGTACTTAATTCTTTCCATTGTTGTGAGTATTCCATTGTATTACTCTACCTTAATTTAGCCATTCTACTTTGACAGATGTCTGAGTTATAACCAGTCTTTAACAGCTATGAACAGTCTCGTCCATGTCTTTTGGTGACATGGCACTCGTTTGTGTTGATGCATTTCCAGGATTGGAAATGCCCTCGCACATACTGGCAAACTTTTCCCAAGTGGCTGCACCACTCTTTACTCCCACCAGCTGTGTACTTTCTCCACACCCTTGACAACACTTGGAACTGTCAGTTCTTTCGATGTTAGTGTTTCTGTTGAGAGCCCTGACAACACTTTGAAGAGAAAAATACAAGAACAAAAATCTTGCTTTGTCCTTCATTCTCCCCTTTTCCCACTTGAGATTTTTGGATGAGTTGAACCCACAGTGCACCTGCCCA